TATTTACTAATTATTAACTCATGATAATGAAGACTTATCATTAGCATATTTACATTCTTATGTCAATACATAAACATGTTGAAAATATTAACCTATTTCTAAGACTATAAGTATTAACCCATCTAACAACTGTAAATCAATAAAATTTTGAGAAATCCTTATTCACACTACTCCTTGATATTTCAACTAAATCTATCATTCAAAAAATAATAGCTAGTGTCATGAGCACTAAGGGTTAATAGTTCAAAAAACTTCATTCCTAAGGTCATGGTATGAAAATAGAATCTTCATAGATGATTAGTGGAAACCCAAGTATTGCAGCTCTAAAGACAATAATTGTAAGTTAGGGGTCAAAACACTCAAAAATTATCTATGCATCCCATTAGTGTGTCAATTGTCTGATCTCAATCATTGTTATAGTGAGCTGAATGATAATAAATTACTTTATTAATCTAATTTATTTAGTATATACTTTTGATTATATATTTAGAGGACTGAATACCCTCACTAGTTAATTATTTTTTGTATTTATTGTCTAAAACCAAACTTAGTTATACAGATAATCAAACTTAGGTCTAATTCTAAAGGTTATAATGAGTTATTCACTATTGAAAAGAATCAAGTCTTTACCCGCCTACCATACTACAGTAGCTTTCCTTAGGTCTTTGACTCCTCACTCATATAGTTTCCACAAGTCTTATCAAGTATTCTAGATAAATCATAGGAAACTTAGAACTTGATAGTTTCTAGTTCAGTTATATTACACCAGTTCTCATAGAATCAACTATATCATTACCAAGCAATCAATATAAAGTTCTTCACTCCAGCATACAAAATAGTCCTTGATGGCATTATCAATTCTCTAGCAGCCTTAATGTCTCTAACTTACCTAATAGTTCAATGTTATCATGTTCAAGTGCAAGTACATTTCAAACTCAATCATATCTCTTTCAATGAAATTACAATATTGAAAGAAAAATAAATAAAGATTTTACCATGATATTTTTACCCAAAAATACACTATCCAAAGACTAGATCCAATTGAGGATAATACTCATAAGTAATGCTAGCAGAAATTCTTCCTTTGAATTGTTATGGCAGCTCTAAATGTATAGTGGGTACACTTTTGTATAGTGGGTACACTTTTGTCATGCTGCAACTAATTGATCACAAAATCTGAAGCTTGTTAGGTTTAGACAATGAAAAGGTTGAGATCAGTTTTTTGATTGCTTGGGCAGCTTTGGATTTCTCTTAGTGTATGTGCATAACAAAACAATAGATGTGTAGGCTCATTAGCTAGGAAATAGGTCATTGTGGTCTTACATATTAGCCTTCTTGTGTGTAGGGAAATGTACTTTCTTATAGGGTTCAGTTATAATCCTCCACCATCATCATCAATAACTAAAAATCAACTAATTGGCTTTCTTATGTGCCTCTTAAACATTTTAGAAATAAGCATTATTATCTTCATTTGATTATTGATTTTGATGATTCAAACTTTTAATCTTGTCATCATCAATATCAAGAGTTGGGCACATCTAACACATGCTTCTAGATTCGTGACTTCAAGGGCCCTTATGAGACAATTTGTAACTACTATCTTCTAAATTCACAACAATCAAGAAGGAACTACATAAGCACCTAAATACATAAGTACTCCTAAGGACTCACTACTAGTAATGGTTTTCTACCACTAAAAACCTTACGAATATGTCAAAAATCAGATTTCAACTTATAAAATTGAATTTTTGATCTTCCTAGTAGTATGAAGGGTCTCTCTTGACTTTCAAAAGTTTCAAAACTTTAAAGGAGCACCTTGTAATTATTGTTGAAAATCAAAGCTTTGAATTCTTTTCTTTGAGCTGTATAGATTCATGAGGAATCACAAGGATTTCCCAAAAACTTGTAGAAGGATTGATGATTTATTTCTCAAAATATTACCGTTGCTAGTGGATTTTTCCTTATTTTCCTCTTGTGACAATGGTAAAAAAAAAAAAGGCATTTTATCAACATTCTATAGAGGCTTCCTTCACCCACATCATGTTCACATGGAGAGAAATGGACAATGTGATATTTTTATTTCATAATCATTAGCAAACCTTCTAGTGATTGAGTACCCATTCTTAGGAGTTGGTACAACTAACTTGCCATCTATTATTATAGTGATGACATAAGTTTTGTTTTTGGGTCATAGTTTGTGGTATAGATGTGTGGGTTTGGGATATTGTTTCATTAAACTGAGACATCATATCATATCTAGATAACTATGGCTTGGACTCTATGGTCTGTGTGCAAGTACTTTTATTCTCTCTATCTCATTCATAAATGAGTTAAAATATTTGGAAACCAATTTTGGAAAAGGTAAACAAACCAATAATATTTAGCCATCGCTTAATTTTTGAAGAACATTTTCTATATCGTAGTAAAAAATTGTCATAGTTTTGAGTCACAATAGAATAAATAAATCAGTCACAAATGACCTTTTTTAGTCTTTTATATCTTTCATCTACTTTGAAAGCAATAAAGCTCCAAAATGGATCATGAATATCAAGGTGTCAACCCCCTTTTTCGTCAATTTAGCCATGCAAATACTGCTAGTTGGCTATGCTATATTCACCTTTAAAAATGAGACAACCTCCTAAACATTGAGGCATTATGTCATGTTTTTGGATTTTCATCTCTAACTCCACTAGACATTTGGCATTAGCTTCTTGATCTGGATTCATGATTGTAGATAAGCAAAATGTTAGATCGACAAACAATTACATCATGATGTGAAAACTTGAATGAGGAAGCTAATGCCATAGTAACATTTTCTTAGGGCTAATAGAAGTAAGTAGATATGAAAAAAAACCATAATGATGGGGATCTTGAATGAGGAAACTTGCAAATAGATAGCCTTGAGAAAGTTCAAGGCATGCAAGTTTTGATGGGCCCAATTTTATAGGCATGTTGGGTAGGTACCTTGAATGAGGAAACTTTAATGAACTTTACACAACAATGAACCTCCAAAACATTTTGAATTTTTTATCTCAAATGGTTAGCAAATAATGTTCAAGTTGGTTGAATTCAAAATAACTGATGTCACATTTTGAGGGTTTAAACACTCAAAAATTAGTTGCCTATACCATTCTAATAACCATCCATGGACACATAATAGCTAATTCATAAAACTTGCAATTTGCCCTGAAATGGCTTCTTTAATTATCGAAGTCGACTAATCTTATGATAAGAATACAAGAAGCATTCAGTCTAACATTTTCATTCCAAATGACAAATGAATATCAATCATTTTCATCAATTTGAAGATAATTAATTCCATTATGCTAATTATATTTGTCTTGTACATAATTTGTTAACATCAAAATTTGATAAGAATTTTAATGAAATATCATCACTATACAGCATAGCCAAGACTCCATCATTTTATTTGCTGACTATATTTGTAAATTTTAACTGTCCTAAATTGTTTCTTAACTATGTCCCTCCCCTTAGCCATTTAGCTCTTGATATAGATCCAAATGGCTTTGAAGGAATGGGAAATGAGAATTTTTCATCTTATGGCTGGAGGAATAACTAAGTAACTAATTGGAGGAATGATGTAAATAGATCCACATCAAATATATTCCAAACTTATTGCTCCTTTCTATTGAATATACCATAATTTAAAATTTTAATGAAGATTTATAAGGTGAGACTCATATCATGTCATCAATAATTGTTAGAATATTTCTTTTATATCAAGGATGAATAGAACATAGAGTGATCTAAAATGAACTCATTGAAGAAATAAATAAACTTCGACTCAAAAGTTTAATGATAATTTCACATTTACTTTTTAATTCTATCAAGAATGAAGTTTAAATTGATATACGAATGTAAACTAGATAGATATAGAGATTGACCAGCAACTAGATGGAAAATGCATCATCAGTTCAAGGTAAGTAGCAACATAGTAACTACGAAGTGATCTTAACTATCCATTGACAATAAAGATTCACAACTTTATTAATTCTCAAAGTTATAACAGCAACTAGATCACTAATCTGAAAAAAAATCAGTTTCTCATTAAGGATTGTAGCTAGTTTGAGTATGAATTATGAGTATAAATCCACATCACATTGCCACATGACTACATATTAATCTTTCTTTCTTAGATGGATGGGTGTGCATATGAAGAGTTAAATTATACAAACTCTGTGTAAGATTTTGTATATATATCCTAGATCACTTTTCTCAACTTGTTTTTTCCAAGGAGTTCCTAAGCAGAATGACTATGCTCGAGTAAGATTTGGATCTTGTGGTACGCCTCTTTTTTTTTAAAAAAAGAGTACTGAATAGAAGTATGGATTTATATTATCATATATCTCTCTTGAATTAATTGATTAAATTTTTTTCACATGAATATATTGGGAGATAAGATGTTGCTATTATAAATCAATTTTAATTGTTGTGATTAATAATATCGTAGAATGTAAATACAGCAAACTTGGTGAACTTATAGGGATGATAAAAATGCTCATTTTAGCCGTGAACTTTATATTGATTAAAACGTTGCATTGTTTATCAGTAAATTAGTTCTCCAGGGCTTTTAAGTAAAGTTGGCTTGAGAAAGTGGGGCAAGAGTTTTTAGGAAAATCGATGGTACCCTACATGCAACAAGAGGGTTGTGCAGTGAGACTCGCCGGTATCATGTGACCAGTATGGGGGAGAGAGAGAGAGAGAGAGAGAGAGGGGCAGCGTGGTCTGCAGGGGAAGCCCCATGGAACGGCATCTTCCGTCACCGCCGAAGCCCTCGTCTTTTTGCGAACTCTCCCTCCCCGGTTGGTCCTCTCTCTCTCTCTCTCTCTCTCTCCAAAAAACAACTATAAACTCGCTTTCTCTGTGCGTTGACCCTGCAGTTTGTATTATGCCCTCTCCCTGGCCCTCCGTCTCTCTCTGTCGATCTGTATTTTGGCATTTCTGGATCGGTGAACGCCGTTGTTGCTTCTCCGTTAACCATGAAATCTATTCCCCTCCTCTGTTTCTACCTCTGCCTGGCGCAGCAGGTTGCCTATTCTTTTCAGGCTAGCATTCATCCGTTAGAAGGTTCTTCATGACTCTCTCTCTCTCTCTCTTCCCGTATCCTCAGCCCCGCTTCCCACAAGCCAATGTTCGACACTTCCCGTGTATTCATTTCATTACTAAACCTTCTTGTGTGGGTCTTGCAGTGGCGGCACTGAAAGCTATCGCCAAGAAATGGGGCATCCGATCCTTCGATAATACTACGATAGATTGCCGGCCAGACTACCCTGGGCCTGGCAACGATGATCTCCTCATCTTCGACTGTGACTGCCCATCAGGGAGCATGTGCCGCGTGACAAAACTGTGAAGAACTCCTCCTCTGCACCACGTGAAGCCTCTCAACTTCTTGCCACTAATTGGGTGAAATTTTGTGGGGTGTTAGCAAGGTTTATGCGCGGCATGCTGGCCCAGTACCCATGGAGCTCTTCGACCTTGCGGAGCTTACAACACTGTGAGCTAATCAACAAATTTCTTAAAAGAAAATGAACGGAAAGTTCGTGAAATTCCTTCATTTCAACGCCTTTCTCACTTCATCCCGGTATGATCTCTGCAGGGATTTGAGTGGGAGCATATTGAACGGTTCATTGCCTGCTGAAATCGACAGCCTATCCAATCTGGAGTTTCTGTAACTGTTGGAATTTTTTTGGCCTAATCCTGACCCTTTTCTTACTTTGAGAACTAAAGTGACACATGCTCAATTGGTGATTAAACAGGAACCTCAGCCAAAACTACCTTTCAGGTACCCTGCCACCACAACTTGGGAACTTGACCCAGTTGAAGTTCCTGTGAGTAATATATGCTTATGGCTCTTCTCATCCTTTGATTGTTGTGCGTCAATGGGTCCATTGCCTGCTGAAATCGGCAGCTTGACCAATCTGGAGTTTCTGTGACTGTTGCGATTGTTTTGGCCTAATCGTGATCCTTTTTCTACATTGGGAATTAAAGTGACACATGCTCAATTGATGATTAAACAGGAACCTCAGCCACAACCACCTTTCAGGTGCGCTGCCACCACAGCTTGGGAACTTGACCCAGTTGAAGTTTCTGTGAGTAATATATGCTTATGGCTCTGCTCACCCTTTGATTGTCGTGTGTCGAACGGTCCATTGCCTGCTGAAATCGGCAGCTTGTCCAATCTGGAGTTTCTGTGACTGTTGCGACTGTTTTGGCCTAATCGTGATCCTTTTTCTACTTTGGGAATTAAAGTGACACATGCCCAATTGGTGACTAAACAGGAACCTCAGCGAGAACAAGCTTTCAGGCACCCTGCCACCCCAGCTTGGCAGCTTGACCCAGTTGAAGTTTCTGTGAGTAATATATGGTTACGGCTCTGCTCATTCTTTGATTGTCGTGTAGAGTCAGTTTTCTCTCCCATCAAGAGATAGGCTCCCTGGGGTCCTGCTGAATATACGTTCCTATCCAGTAGAAGTAGGGGACCTCACTGCTTCGGAGAACTTGCACATGTCAAGTGTTTTTCACTTGTTCACAGTTCTCTGGAAAGATGGTGACGTCTCTCCATGGTTGAACGTTAACTTTCTGATATCTTCTCACATAAGCTTCTTGTATGTTACTGAAGAAAAAGCAACTGATTCAATTTTTAAACTGTTAACTTACTCTGTGGACATGTAGATTTCATCTTTCCTATCAGTAGCCACGTAAAAGAGGGTATTTTTGAGAAAAATTAGTAATTATTCCTATCAGGCTTCCTCTTAATCAGTCTGATCTTTTGTGCTTCTGATACATTATTCAGAGCCTGACCATCCCTCCTAGGAAACGGTAGAGTATGAGTTCACTTCAGGTTAGGAAAGGGTACTAATAGATTAAATAATAAATGTTTGCTGCAGTTCAGTTTTCTTTCTCTGCTGTTCTTCACTTACAAGTCGGTAATTTGAAAAATAACAGAGATAGCATCTTCATGTAAGTTGAGGCCTAGCTAATTAACTCGCATCTACCCTCTAAATCACTAATTTGTATTCCTTCACACTCAACAAGTGTCCTATAAATGTGAATAATGAATGTATTTATGTCAAAAGGCCTTATATTAGTGTTGTGACCATGAATGTGATCTACAGCTGACTGAAATATCCTCATTAAGAATATTTACAAATCGGTTGATTATTCACTGGCTATGTGGATTGTTCTACATGCTCCATAGGTTTGGTTACAAGGGAGGGGATTTTAAGATGTGGTTATTTAAGATATTTGTGACACATTTGAGTTTTTCAGTGTGAAAATTTGTCTGCCAAATTATTTTAGATTTGGATCATGAAGAAGAAAATGCACCCAGATGGGCTGACACAAAACTAAGCTTGGAGCAGAGACCAAATCTAACCGTTCAATATGGGGTTGAATTGTGGTTATGCACATTATTTTATCCTTTTGCTGTTGGATATCTGAGAATGGATAGCTGTTAATAGATAATACTATGAATGTGTTTAACATGTATTTATGAATCTGTAACACGCAGATCCAATGGTCTCCAAATTGGAGGAAAAGAATTTCTACTAATTCCAAGCCCAAGCCTTTCTAAGATTGCTCATTTGCTAGGGTTTAACGTCAACATTGAGAAGTGAGTTTGGTCTGGGCTGAGGTTAATAAATTTTATTTCTGAATTGAATATTTAAAGGTGTCTTCTAGAGATGCTTATGTGGGTTTCGGCATCGCAGATGTAGTCGACTTACACTAAGTCCTTAGATGTTGCCAATGCATCCGTGAATTTGGAAGACATCACTTGGGTTCACAATGCGCCCAGAAAGTGCCCAAAGTGATCTTTGAGAAATCTCCAATGAAAAATAGTTTGGTATATGGCATATGGCATATTTCGTTGTTAAACATTGTGATCATTATGCTGATTTCATGATGTATATAATTAAATTATGTAAAAATAAGTGAATTATATGAAGTTCGCTCAATGATGGCGTCATTATTGGATAGAGTCCTCTTTATGTTCTCAAAAGAAGTTTCCTGCTTGGAAATATAGTGAGAAGAACAAGAGTACGAACCAGAGTAGAAAGGACTGAGGCGGGGGAGAGGGAGAGGGAGAGGGAGAGTATGAAAAACATTTTAAAACCTTGGAGTGTGATTTTGTTCCTGGGAAAGTGTTCTTACTGAGATATGGAGTGAGAAGAAAAACAGGAGCAAGAGCAGAGGGGGGGGGGGGACATAGAGTATTATGAATTCCTCATTGAAGAGATTTTAACTGCATCACCGAGATGCAAGATGATCCGCAAATTTTGATATTTTCTGGTCATGCAAGATATTTGGGTAGATGAAAGAAACGCAAAAACAATTTTGAAAAATGACAATAGTGCTGTGTGCAATGTGCCACATTCAACTATTGTTGTGGGAATATTAGGACTAGGGGCTGGGGTTTTTTGAACATAGATAATACCTAAAATCACCTAGTATTTGAAACTATAATGCCCTAAACTCACTTTATTGAGTTACACCATAGAAATGTTACCAATTTCTTTTAAAATATGAAGACACCATGTTTTTTAATTTATCTCGTGTTTTATGCATTTATTTATCTTATGTGTATTTTAAAGTGCAACTAATGATGACACTGAAGCTGGGACAATAAAAGATGACTCTAACACGGTTTTCAAATTCACACGTTTTAAGCGAAATATTAGGTGGCTGATATCTCAAGAAAAAGAAAAGGAAATGAAAATAATTGTAACCGTTTATTCTAGAGATGGACGACAGTCATTTTCTCTTAATCCGTTTCCATTATGCAAGGATTTAAGTATGAACGTGTTGAATGATTCAATTCCTGAGGAAATTGTCTATCCTTTGGATTTCGAGCATCCGTAATTGTTTTGATAATTCTATGATACTCTTATCATTCTTTCCTTTTGGAAAGGATTACAATGTGGACATGTTTAACTAGTGGTAGAACAGGAACCCAATTATAAACAAGCTTTAGGTCCCACGTTACTTGACCTGGCAAAATTTGATTAATTTGACACTGTTGTGAGAAATTTTCGTTTAAGCTCGACTTATTCTCTCATTGTTCTATACACGTTTCCCTGAGCGGATGAGTTCTTGAACAGGGGATAACTTGTTTCTCCTTGTTTTACAGAAGTTTGAGATCAAACAGATTCTCTGGTCCTATCCCAAAGGAGCTTGGAGAGTTGAATTCTTTAGAAGAACTGTGAGTGTATCTTGTTGAAGTCAAATCCATTGAAGTTTGTTTCATATACTGGACTCTTTTGGGCTTCTGGTTCATTTTTTTTGGGATGTTATTTGCTGTTCTCGATGAGAAATAGAAGAGCCAAGTTTTCTGTAGAAGATGATGGGGACTGATTTATCTTTTTTTCCTACTAATCTACTTTTAGACACATAGATAGCAGTGGGCTTACTGGAGAGATTCCTGCAGAACTTGGGAAGCTAAGTAATCTTCGCACCATGTAAGGAACTCTCTCCTTAGCAACTTAAAGTTACTGCATATAGACGGAATGGAATGATTTTCTCGAAAGATCAAAATTCAAGAGAACTGCACTGTAATAGTAGACACGTTCAGATTTGTTGGGTTTGTGTCTGTTGCAGCTGGGCGTTTGACAACCTTTTTACGGGGAAGTTACCAGAGTTTTTCGGACGTCTTGTCAAACTTGAGGAGATGTAAGCACAATTTTCCTCTGATCATCAATGGAATAGGATGCCTTTAAAGAGATCCTTCACATCGAGATTTTTTTTATTTCTATTTTATTTCAGGCGCATTCATGGAACAGAGCTGGAAGGACCCATTCCAAGCAACTATTCTTCTCTAACGAATTTACGAGAGCTGTAAGTATATGGATGTGGTACTAAATAAGGAGTTCTTGATTTTTATTTCTTTCTCATAAATTCTATAGGTTCTAAATCTGGATACTCAGAGAAAGTCTTAAATGTTCGGAACTAGGTCTTCTAGTATCTTGGAGAAGTTTGTAAGATTGCAGATCAGAAAATATGTATTTCTATGAATCTTGACCAAACAACTGTTAACAAACATACAGGATACATTCGTCCATCCTGGTTAATAAAAGTCCACAGCTTATTCGTTTCATCTCTTATGTCACGTAACATTGAATATTTGGATTGTTTCATTTAAACATTTGGAGTTTTGTTCATTGGGTAGCTTCCTCTTTGAATTTTGTTGGATCAAAATAAAAGAACATGAAAAATCCCTTGGGAAGAAGCTTTTCTCTTATTTTACGGCAAATCAACTCATTTTGTCACTAACAATGGTAAAGGAAATCAGACTAATTGTCGAAGTCTATATACGAGGGTAAAATACTTTGATGGACTGATAGATAGACTGATATACAAACAGATCGAAAGGCAGAGGGATATTGAGGAAATCTTCACCTTAAAGTCATGGTGCTTTTCTGATTTTTTTTTTCTTAAGAATGTTGATATATCAATATCTGGAAATCAGTGACACAGTTATCTTTCAGTGATCACTTTACCGTTCTAAGCTTCAATCATCATTTACAAGCTGATGATATTCTTATTATACCGGGTTCGATCACTTTTTCAAAAACGGCATCTATGAAATTTGGTGAAGAGGAACATTGCTGGATCACAGTGGTATAAATTTTAATTCATTTAATTATTACTTAATGAACAACACGTTTATCTTTCACAGGAGTCTTGGTGATCTTACAAAGGTGGATTCTACAGTTGCATTCGTAGAAAGCCTGAAAAACTTGTCTATCTTGTAAGATATTATGTCCTTTTTTTTTTCTCCTATTGACGAAAAATCATGAACTTAAAGCTAACACTCATGGTGCAGATCCTTGAGAAACTGTCTAATAGTTGGTCCACTTCCCAATAAACTGGAATCCTTTCTGGAATTGGTTTACTTGTAAGTTGACTTACTATGAAACTAGTGATATCTTATTTCTGAGTAATGTTACAATGTATTGTGCTCTAGGTGATGTCTCATATCAATGGCTGAAAATAACGTTTTTTCTAGTCAACTTTAATGATGAATGAAGAGCTGCAGGTGAGATGTCATTTAATCATGTTGATCCAGAGAAGAGAATTGCTGGGAACAAATTTAAAAGAAGAGAAAAGGAGGAACCTGACAAGGTCGAAAAAGACTACTAAACATAGGGGAAAATCTGCCTTCGATGCATATTTCTAATGCTAACACATTAGACACTCTCATATTTGCGAACTGAGTGTGAGACTAGATTCCTGATTCTTTGAAAGGAAAAGCTTGTGGAATCCTCACTTTAACATAAATGTACACGGGCACATTTACATTTGATACTTGCTGAAGACTGCATTTAATTGTCATTTTACATGAGAAGATTGATAAATGATAGATGATTGGAACTCAGCCAGATGCTTAACCAGTGACTAATATGAATGTTTGAATCGAATTCCCCTTTCCATTAGAGGAATACCATCATTCTATAAAACCAAAATATATGCATTTGTCCGTTTCCCAAAGAGTTAATACCAGTTTTCCTTCTCTGAAAAATGAAATCCTTCGTCTAAGCCTACGTGCAGTTTATTTCTTCTAGATTTTTCTATATGAGTGGTTATGAGTCCTGTACTAGTGCATGTTCTCCTTTCTTTTATATGTGAAGGTTACCTAATTTGATAATAATTTTTTTGCTTCTGTAGCGTTTCTAAATGGAACTTTTTAATCTTAATAAGAGTAGTATTTGCGAATGGCATTGTGTGACATCGCATGAAGTGCCATAGTGTAGTTTTTCCAGCCCTAGGAAACTCTCTTTCTAACAATGAGGATGGACTTCCTCTGTTTCATGTTTCTGAATGCTTTAATTGCTAGGAATGATATCAATTGGCTAATGCAGGGACTTGAGCTTCAACAAGTTGACAGGTCATATACCAGACTCCTTCCAGAATTTAACATCAATACAAGCCCTGTAAGTTTTGTGTCTGAAAAGCTTGACTTTGTAGCTTCGTCCTTGATGAGGTTGAAAGTGTCATTTCATTTCTTCCAACTTGAGATTTCAGAGCATGTGTTTTATTTTTTAATCTACATGAATTTCAATTTATAAAATCTATTCCCCCTGCATCTTGTGTAACATCAAATGCAGTGAAGAGAAACACTGAGTCGCTTCTTATATGTGTGATCCTAAATTTGTACTAAACAGAATTTTCAATTTTTGTCATTTCATGTCGCTGAGCCATCTTTGAGTTTAACCATGTGCCTAGTATCCAATCTTCTGGGCTAAGTGATAGTGGATTGGCTGAGAGAAACCTCAACTCCTGGGAAAATTAGATGAAATTTGGAGGAGAAACATATTTTCTTCTGTTACAACTTCAGCTTGTTCAAATTACATAATTTTTACATATCCTCTTAGAAACAACTAAATAGCTCCTTTTGTAAACCTCAAAACGACAATGACCATGGACAACGTTATATTATATGCATTGATACAGTTGGAAATTCTAGGTCGTAAGAAATAATGTAAAAGGTTGAGGGTATTTTGGGACAAATTGTCTAAGGTTCCTCCTTATATAAAGGGTGTTAAAGGTGAATGAAAATTGAGGCAGTTGTTTGCTGTTCTCCACTCTGTCCTCTGTGGCAGAAGTTATTCTTCTTGTTCCTATGATTTTTTGCATGATATAAAAGCTTAAGTAAACCTTAGCACCACCACCACCATTGATGTCGTCACCGCTGCCACTGCCACCACCTTTGTTTGGCATCTCTTCTCTAGAGGAGCACCATTGCTGCCAACATCAATGTCTGGCAGTATTTGGGATCTCTTGTTTGGTGGTATCTGCCATCTCCCATCAGCAGCCACCGTCACCAGTGCTGCCTCTATTTGGCATTGGCTTTGTTTGGCGTCCCTTGTTTGGGGAAGTGTCATCGCCACTATCTCTAACATCCTCTACTATCATTTGTTGGAGGTATTCACGTTGTGTTACTTTTCGGCAAAGTCTTCTGCCTATGTTGAATATCTATTCAGCGAGGGTTTCTACCTCTACTAAGTATCTTTTTGGCTAGGGTTTTTGCCTTTGCCAAGTATCTTTTCAGTGAAGGTTTCAACCTCTATTAAATATCTTTATGACAAGGGTCTCTACCTCTATTGTGTTACTTTCCAGCGAGGTCTTATATCTCCGTTGAGTAGTAGAGGTTTCCTAATTCTGCTGCGTATCATTTCGGCAAGGCTTTCTTCCTTTGTCATGCTACTTTTTGGCGAAGTCTTCTGCCTCCGTTGAGTATCTTTCTGACATCATTCCTATGTAGTCATCTATGAGGTGTTTTCTTAGTCTAGTGTCGTCGTCCGTACTCTTCAATCTGACTTCCTCTGTTCTGCATCAGTCCAATGTTCTCCCTAGTTGGCCACCAGAGTTTCCCATAGTCTGTGTTGTTCTCACCTGTCTCATATGATACTGTCCCTCCATCTGGCATTGTCCTTTCTCTGTCCGAGAATGTTCTCTATCTAGTGCCATCTCGAGTGTGCCAAGGTCATCTTGCATCGTTTGACATCACAAAGTATTATTGTCCTATGAAGTAGGCCTACAATGTCACAACCAAGCAGAAGAGGAGCTTTTTGACACTGTCACAGGGAGAGTTGTTGTCACAACCGATCGTCATTGTCACAAGTTTACTTTCTAACAAGTGAATGCTCAACAAGGACTTAATCAAGATGAACTTTTTCAAAGTTAATCATGAGGGAGAGTGTTGGAAGTTCTAGGTCATAAAGAAATAATGTAAAAGATTGAAGGTTTTTGGAGACAGTTGTCTAAGGTTCCTCCTATATAAGTGAATGGAAATTGAGGTGGTTGTCCACTGTTCTCGTCTGTCTTCTGTAACAGAGGTTATTCTTCTTGTTCCTATGATTTTCTATAGATGCCAAGGAATCCAAATTCAAATGGAAGGAAATTACTCTCTGTTTCAGAAAGCATCCATATGCATCTTTTTTCTTAGAACAATTTGACCAATTATTCTATGGTCAGTCTTTTCCGTCGTAGTATCTCCTTGTTCATTGACTTTGTTCCATTTACTCTATAATCAATTTTACTCGCTTATTTTCTCTACCAAATCCCTTCTAGATGTGGTCTTCTATGGTGTTCCATAGGGCGACATGCCAGCTTTTCATGGTTATCCTTGGTTCGCGATCAATTTCAGGTTTCTTGGAAGCAACAATCTATCTGGGCTTCTACCTCAGCATATTCTAGTGCCATCAATGACAACCTTGTAAGAAGCAGTGACATGCACTCTCTCATTTATGTGAAGCATATTTTCAGCTAGCATGATGAAAAGCCATCTAATAGAACATTTATACTCTTCTTCTTATTCTTCTTGGATTTCCTGCTGGAAACGTGCAGATAGCTGTTGGACTCTCATAAACCAATATGCACTGTATCAACATAACTCTTGATGCCCCTTTCTCTTTGTTGTAATGGAATTCGCTTCTTTTTATCATACTGGCATCCATGAGTGTTGACATGATTTTATTGGCTTTCTTCGTTCTTCCTATGGGATTTGATTTATTATGATTGAGCTCATACAAAGGCTTTGCAAATTCATTGCCTGTATCCTCACACTTTATTAGTATTAATTAAATCAAACTAATGAAGGGATCCTCTTGAGTTGATGATCAGAAACAGAGCCTCAAAATTTTTTTTGTGATGCTCAGTTACATGTGAAGACTCTTAAATCATGTTTATATGTATTAACCTTGCACAATAGAGAGCTTACTCTCCACAACATGAAAACGGATGAAATTGGGCTTACATCCTCCAGGCAAGCTTATGGAACACTGATGAAAACTTGGCAATCTCTTTCAGATTCCAATGATAACCTGTGAGTGTTCATGAGACCTTTGACATTTGAATTGAAAAAGCAAGATCCAGAGGCCTCATTTTCATATCATTTAATTCCTTGAGATATCAAACTGGCAATTACTTATATTTAGACCTCAGCATGGTAAAGCCACAAATCTCAAAACTTGAAATGAAACAAGTATATTTCCTTCAGTTTTCTTTTGTTCACAGATTTCAGCACGAATTGACGTGGTCTTGACAGTTTGTACTTTTTTGTGGCAACTTGATGTACCCTGATGTCAACCCCTACGTAATTTCTATTTTCTATCAGATGTCAACACTTTTCTCAAAAGAGTTGACCTCGGTGAACCCAACGTTGTGTTTGCCATAGGTGTCAACACTTGTCATCCTAGATGCCAGCTTGAGACATGATCTTCTTTTAGACTTTCTTTATTGATACTTTACGACCTTGTTGTTTAGATTTAGACGATCTAATCTATTTGAGTGCTTACAATTATTGGCATTTGAGGAGATTATTTTTCTCTACGGTTGGCGAGCAAGGTGTTAAACCTTGGGTGATCTTCTCGAAAAATCCTTGTCCCAGTTGTTAGCATTTCTTTAGCTTTTGATATCAAATAACCTAAGTAAATACTAACTAAGTTTGAACAATTTTGGCCCAAAAATTGAGTAGTCGTGAGCATCGTAATCATTTTGCATTAATAATTTTTTTTTGGAAATTAGTTTGGCTCATCAAAATCAAGTTTTGTAATGCTGCAACCTGGTTTTTAAACCTAAAAAGAGACTTAAGTGGAAATGCTAGGTCAAAGGCCATTTGATGTTAGGATCACGTCCAATAGTCAGAGGCCATTTTATAGTAGAGAGCGAAACCTTGACCATGATGCCCTTGAGTTTGTCTGATACATGTATGACGGATCTAAATCCAAACCCACTATGGCAATGCACCTCACTTCCTTGATATCAACCCATTCAGGGGACTTGCCTCTATGGTAGTGAACGGATCCTCTTAGACTTTATCTTTCTAAGTCTATCTGTTCAATGTGACAACAGGTCTGCCTTCTTGGGCTTGGGGCGGGCCTCTTAGTGAATCCTTCCACCATGGCTACTGACCAGGTTTCTTGGACTAGGGTGACATTCAAACTCTGACATTCGGAGCTTGGTAGAGAGGGATCCACGCGAATAAAATAGTCATAAACCAGACAGTAGGTATTGGACGGTACATTTGATCATACAGCACCATGTTAGAGCGTGAAACATGCATTTTGCAATTCATTTTTTGAAGTGACGTTCAGAAATTCAGATGCCTGGCATGTTGCAGCCAAAACTAATGAATCCCCTGAACTAGAAATAAACACAGATCTGCATGGTCATATTACATCTGAAGACATAAGAGCAGGCTGGCTAGATATGAAATCTAAATAGCATTAAAAAAGTGCCCGCTGGATGCTCCTCTTCTGTTCTCACTCTGATCTGGTTTTGGCTAAACTAGACCCAATGAAGGGAAATGTCAACCCCTTGATAGAACATAAAAGAAAATACAAAGAAACCTGGAAGAGTTGCTCGCTGGTTGAGGAAGAAGATGATGTAGCCCAGGACACAAGTTGAAGTCTCAACATCGAATTTGAGCCCGATTCCTAAATTTGGGCCATAAGTGACTTGTCACTTCAACAGATGCAGCTTGTCCTTTTTCCGGAATCCAAATCAGACTGGTCACCGTTTCCAATAAGAGGAGACCCCCCTTTTCTTCCTCACCATAAGATCACATGTACCATCTGACCCTGCAAGCTTCGGACAAAGTTTCAATAGCAAATAAAGGGGAGTCTTTAAAGCCTGTTGGAGCCTGGTTTAAGGCCCACGAGAGATCAGAAATTGTTTCAAGGAAAAACAAGATGTTTCTTTTGCCCCTCCCAGGCGATCAGAAAAATAAAGAAATGGTTGATATATTCAAGATAATTGCGTATTTATAAAATAATTACCATCTCAATTCATCCTATTTCATCAGATCGGGGGTGTGATATGCTTTGAAAATCTTTCTAACACCAGTTCAGCAGTGCCCCATTGAAATTCAGTACGAGGTAGGTGGTAATGGTAGCTTTTACACTGTTGTTCTTCCTCCTCTTTGAATCTTATATATATTTACACTGTACATGCATATTATATATCCTCCATCTGATTTTGGGCAGCCGGGTTTTTCTGTGTTTATTCTTATAAATGGATAATCTCTTTGATCACACAAAGCACCTCAGCGCTTCAGCTTTGTAGAATCACAAAAATGCATGATGTAAATTTATGAACTGTGTTTAACGCCTGGGTTTGCTCCCTTTCCTGTAGAGACATCTCCTTCAATCAGATCACCGGGAGGTCTCCTCTGAACCATAATAGATCGAAATTATCAGCGTATGTTAATAAGAACTTTTACATTATCACACGGCCATGATGCTTTCAGGGTTTGAAGATTACTGTATAACGATTTGCAGGAATTTTATTGGCACCTCCGTTGACACAGACGATCTGAGATACAGGTAATTATGGTGCTTTGACTTCCGTAGTACTTCCGTTGTGTTCTGACTTTGTAAGCTTCATATATGGATAGGAACCTGATATAGTGTTTGAGTTTTGATTCCAAGCTCTGCATGGTCATCTTGTTCTTTACTAATTGAGTGAGGTGCATCCCATGTAGGCAAGATGGGGACATTTTAAGCTGCCTCAGAGCTGGTGCATCGTGTAGTAGCAAAGATGTGCCCTGTAAGTTTTTTCTACTTTTAGTAGTGAATTAGATTGATCACGCATCACTTTGCTGGGGCCATTCTGGGTTTTGAATCATAACCATCAGTGAAGTCTCTGTACCGTTGGTCGCCCAGTTCCTCTGAGTTTTCTTTTTTTTTTTCTTTTTATAACTGGAGAAGCTTTCTCTCATCCATGGGAATAATATAAACTGCGCTTTTCCATTATTCAGCATTGCATCTCTAATCTCTCTCCCTCTCCTTCTCTTTCTGTGTGTGCATCTCTCTCTCTCTCTCTCTCTCTCTCTCTCCGTCCCACTTCCTCTCCCTCTCTCTCTCTGTCTGCCTCTCTCTCTCTCTTTCTCTCCCTCTTTTTCTGTGTGTACCTCTCTCCCTCTCTATCTTCTCTCTCTCTCTCTCGGTCTGTGGGCAGAGACCCAGAGCTCAGACCCATCCTCTTTTTGCTTTCCGGCAGATACAAACACCTCCATCTCCATCAACTGTGGGGGGCCCGAGCAAGAATCTAACTCTGGAATCATCTTCTCCGCCGACTCCGAAGATCTTGGAGCCGCCTCTTTCTACCTCGACCCGCATCGGCCATGGCTGGTGAGCAGCTCACGCTCGTACTTCCCCAGCTCCGCGAAATCTGTAGCCGCCACAGACCTAAAGATCGAGGGCACCTCAGATCCCCATCTGTACAAGACGGCGAGACTATCCACCGGCTCCCTGAGGTATTTTGCTCTCAGAATGAAACCAGGGAACTACTCTGTGGAGCTCCACTTCGCTGAGATAATCTTGGAGGACGATGATGATGGTGATATGCAGTCTTTGGTGGGCCCCGGGCGGCGGCTGTTCGACGTCTATCTCCAGGTTTTTTTTGGGGGGGGGGGAGGGGAAGAAGATAAAAATCTGCTACTTTTAGCAAAATTCCGACAGGATAGTCCAATGAATGTGGTGTCCATGATGCAGGGTGTGAGGGTGCTGCGAGACTTCAACATCCAGGCGGAGGCCAACGGGTCGAGGAGAGCCCTGGTCAAAGAGTTCACGGTCAACGTCAGCGTTGACGGGATCGTTGACATCCACTTCTTCTGGGCTGGAAGAGGGACATGCTGCATCCCCCGCCAGGGGACCTTCGGCCCGCTGGTGTCGGCCATAAATATTTCCCGACGTCCGCAGCAAGCCCAACATCTTTCGTTCATTTATTTTGACTTATTTGTTCTGACTTCTTGGTGGGTTGTTGACTTTCGGATCCGGTGTGGTGGGTTTAGATCTCGAAGATGAGGAGACGCCGGAATCCGGCCGGAGGAATAGCAGCGGCGGCGGCGGCGGCGGCGGCGGCGGCTTGAAGAAGGAGATTGTGGTGGGGATCGTCTTCGGTTGCGCCGCCGGGCTGCTCATCTTAGCCTCTGTGTTGTACCTGTGGTGGAAGAAGGACGACGGAGAGGGTAGCAAGTGGGCGCACCGGGGATTCTCCGAAGTCAACGATGACTGACTTAGAAGTCACCCCCATTGATAGCTGTTGGAATCCATAGTCAACCTGGCCTTCTCCTGGTAATTTATTTATTTGTGAAATGAATGAGCTGTTTCCCATCTCGGATGAGAATCTTTGGTCCGCCACGGGGTTTAATCTCCACCGTTCAATTCAGGAAAAAAAAAACGAAAAAAATAATATTAGATTCCAGCTTCGCGAAGCTTCGTCTCGGATCACGTTGACCGTCCGATCGGTGAGCTCGGTCGGATCGTACAGCTAGGGGCCCAGGAATTCTCTTCACCACTATTTGTACGGCCCTTCCCTCGTGCGGTGGATCGACAGAGCGATCCACCGTGGAACAACTTTAGTCGCTCTTATCCGGATGCCCGATTCACCATCCACGTCAGCAAAACCAGTGATTACGCTGCTCCTCAGGGTCATTTAAAACCCCGCGTCGTACCCATAACCTTCGTTTTCATGCTTTCGCGGCAACTCTCTCGCTAAATCTCTCTCTCTCTCTCTCTCTCCCTCTTTCTTTCTCTCTTTCTCTCTCTCGTCTCTTCTCCTTTCATGGTAGTTGTTGCAGATGGTAGAGAGAGAACGGGGCTGACGGGCTGGGGAGCGGACAGCTAGGTGGAGAGAAGATGGCCGCGTTCTCGGCGTCTGGCGCCGTCCACGCGCAACCGAGGATCTTCAGGCCGAGCCTCAGTGGGCCTTCGCAACAGGTGAATCCTCTCTCTCGCTCTCTATCTATCTATCTATCTACCTCCCTCAGCTTCTTTTCGTGTGACGCTTGTTTTTTGCTCTTCCCATCCTCGTAATGCCCTGAGACAGTCTATGCTTCTCCCTAGTTTGTTTTTCTTTCAATTCTAAGCCTGTATTCCCTTTCTTTTCGTTGTCGTATCTGTTGGAAGTCAGCAGATGTTTTTATTTTCCTGCCTTCCCTGGGAATGAGATTTGAACTGGTCTATTTTCCGAGTGTTGAAGAAAAATGCTGGGGGTGACAGGTGATATTGTGCGAAATCAGTTAATCAACATTGTGTTGAGTATGTTGCGGATGGGTTCTCACCACTTTTATGTTTCAAGAAATTAGTAAAAGATCGTGCGGAAATCCATTTTTCTTCTAAATTTCCTATCAACTAAGTTTCATTAAAGGTTTTTAGTATGTAAATTTTACGTGAACCGATTGTTACGTTCAAAAATCATCATTGTTAAATGAGGTATATTGACGGATGCATAAAACTGGGGAAAACTAGAAATCTTTCGTCTGGCCATGCGGTTCAGCATGGCAGAATCGAAGTAATTTATTGTAGCTGGTTCACTCTGGCTGGACTAGAAATTTTAACTAGGGTTTTTACGAAGGGATGAACCAAAATATACTTTTAGTTAAATATATTCAATCACTTTTTATCTGTCTTTGATTGTTAACCTCATGGAAGTGAAGAATGCTATTACTATGGGTGAGAAGGATTAACTGTCAAAAGTTTTGCAGTTACTTGTTACTGTTCCCTTGGACCAGGGATCTGATCTCCCGTTATAAAGCTTAGTTGCTCAAGTCTAGAATGAATCTTGTCCGACATGTTATCTTTTTGCATTTGCCTGCGTCTGAAATGATCCTGGCTTACGAATTTTGGTACAAGAACTTTTTGTGAGACAAATATAGGAAAAAGGCATTCCATATTCCTTCTGTGTTACATCCAGCACATATTATTATGCCTTAATTTGCCCTTTCTTCGACTCAGAATGTTTCACCATAGTGGATAGTACTCCATTCTATGATCAGATACGTGGTCGAATGAATTTAATGGGTGATCTGAAGGTCTAGTCTGACTTTATATTGGATATGTTTCGCCAAAGTTAGATACCATTTCAGTTCATAGTATAAAGTTAGGGTGGTGGAGGTGCCTTAGGATGTCTATTTCCAACTGAACTGAGCAATCGAAAATATTCTATCAAGTTTGGCTCATGAATATATTTCTCTTCGACAAACTTCATGAAAGCATACTTCCAGAGACTCTCCTGTTTCTTTCTTTCTTTATCATTGTTGCACCCATGGAATCTGTTTTCTTATTCTACTGATTGAATTGCATTGGCCTTTTTGGTATAAATGAAATAATTTGAGTTTTATTTGATCATCCAAGTAGCTTCACTCTTTTTCGGCAAAATACTATTCATATCAGAGGTCACATCCATTCTTTTTTGATTCCATTGTTGGACTAGATTAGTATTCCCTGTCCAAGTATGAATTGACACATTCTTAGTGACTAAAAAGGAAAAATAATTAGCCACCCAGTTTCATTAGATTAGAAGCTATCAGTGAATTCGTTCGAATTCTCTCTCTGTGGCCTGGTTATTACTGCTGTTTCTTTTGATATGTTTAATGCTACATGTGTTGCACCAATTTCCTTCTTGCGACGAAGAGCATGTTGTTATTATGTTTCCTGAAATTCTACTTCAATTTTCTCAATGATTCTGGCAGAAATTACCTTTGTGGCTAAATAGAAACGAGACGTCTCTGGTTCTCCTGCGATCACAGAGGGTAACGAGGTATAGTCAAGTGCCAACGTTCTTCACAGTGAATAACCAAAAGACAAATGTTGGTAACACAAATGAAGGAGCAGTTGAGCCAGCTAGGGTTCTTCTTGAGAGGTTGTTTGTGCAGACACAAAAGCTTGAAGAGAAAATGAACAAAGGCTCTGGTCTTATCAAGGACTACGAATTAAGCAATAGCCTTGAGGTCCTGGAGTCAGATATTCAGGCTGCCTTGCTAGCCTTGAGGAGAAGGGAGGAGGATCTTCAAAATGCTGAGAGGAAAATACTCTTCGACCATGCTGAGCTAACACAGGCCAAGCGTGACCTAGAACACAAAGAAAAAATGATAGCTTCTGCCCTCGCTAACCAAGAGCAGATGGAGCAAGACCTAAGGACAGCTAATAGTGATCTAGCTTTCAAGGCAAGGGAAATAGGGGATCTCAGGCTTCTGGTCGAGGAGCAGAGGTGGAAAATTGTCAGCTCACAGGCGGCACTCTCTGTGAAAGAAGATGAGCTCACTGAGCTGAGAAATGAGCTGATAAGAAAGAATGATGAGATTCAAAGTATCATTCAAGAAATCAAATCCAGAGACCAGCTTCTGAAGGAAGCCAACAAAGTGATCGAGAAGCAAGAAGGGCAACTTAAGAAGATTCAGAGGGAGCTGAAAGAGAGAGAGGACGATCTAGCAAAGTCTCTGCAGCTGAAGAAGGTTGAAGAAGGGAAACTGCGAGTTGCAGAGTCCAGGTTAGAAAAGCAGGGCTTGGAATGGCTACTAACGCAGAAAGCACTGAAGGAACTGGCAGTGCAAGCATCCCAGAATATCAATGGTGCGAAGGAAGCTAGGGAGGATTTTAGGAGAGTAAGTGCACTTCTATCTGATGTAAAGTCTGAATTGATCTCGTCCAGAAAATCTCTTGCTTCCTCTCGCAAGATTCTGGTGGCCCAAGTCCACCAGCTCGAGAAGAAAAAGGCAGAGCTCCAGGAAGAGAGCCTCTCCGTGACGTCATACAGCAAGAGCTTGGAAGATGCCCAGCTGGAAGTTGAGAATGAGAGAGCAAAGCTCGGTGTCGTTGTGGCCCAAAGAGATAAGCTCCGTATGCAGTTATTATCAGAAAGGACGCGTATTGACAAAATGGAGGAGGAGCTGCGCGCCGAGAAGTGTCGGCTGGAGCGAGCCAACAGAGAGATAGATTCACTTCAGAAAGATCTCCAGCAGAAGACCTTGGATTTTAACCGCGCCCAAGATCTTCTTCAAGCTAAAGAATCCGAACTTGATGGAGCGAGGCTTCAGATTCAGGATCTGAAGTCAGAGCAGGCCTCGGTTGAGCTCATCTTGAAAGAAAAGGATGAGATTCTCTGGGACACGCAGCAGAAGTTGGCCGACTTGAGCTGTGAGATTGTGGATCTGAGGGGGCTCATGAAGAGCAGAGAGGACCTGCTCCTGCAGACGACCGGGCAGCTTCAGGAGAAGGAAGAACATGCCTTGGTCATGAAACATGAGCTCGACGACACAAAAGCAAAGTTCTCCGAGGCCGTGACGATTGTCGAACAGATTTCCCAACTGACAGATAAACTCGTCGTGTCTATGACGAATAACGTTCGCTCTGACTCTCGCGGCTTGTCCAATATAGGAATGCCGGCGGCCCCTCAGGTCAACCCTGGCGCTGACTTTGGGAAGCAGGAGCAGCTGGAGACTGAGCTGAAGGTGAAAGAAATGGAGTGCCGAGCGGCACGGAGAGCCCTCGCCGTCAAGGACGAAGAATTAGAGTCGGTCCATAGACAGCTCGAGACGAAGGAAGAAGAAATGCAGAAGATGAAGGAACTGCTGTGGCAGGATAGAAGCAGAGCAGAGCTCCCAGTTGAGAAAGCTGGGGACAGAGAAGAGTTCTCGAAGGCAGATATGAACCCTAAAATAGAAAAAGGGAGCATCGACAGGGTCGAAAGGGAATTGACAAACCTTCTGTCCTTAACCCACAAGCTCCTAAGGGAGGCCCGCATCAGCGGCTGACAGGGGCACGGCGCGTAAATAACCCCCAATCTGACTGTTTGGAGATCTCTGCAGCATTGCATCCTGTGGTCGGTCTGAAGATCTCAGATCATCAGATGGGTGCGGCTTGTGCTTTCTCCTTGTGATCCTGAGGGTTTCCATTTATGGGTGCGGCAGGTGAAGAGAGAGATGAGAGATGAGACATCATCGCGTCCAACCTTGTGAAGAACGGCAGGAACAGAGGTTGATAAGTATGGTTGGATCTTGGTAGATGTTTCTGACGGCTTTGGGGGGAGTGTAGGAACTTCTTCTGCTTTGGTGGGTGGGTCTTCTTCTTATTTTTCTGCTGCAGTTGGGAGCCACCATGTAGGTGGTGTACCAAATCTGCCGACCTCAATCCAACTCTATTTTTTGTTGGTTGACTTCGTTCCTGCAGCGGTTTTGTATATTCCAGAAGAAGCTGTTCCATTCTCTCTCTCTCTCTCTCTCTCCCCCTCGCTCGCTGTGAGGACAGTCCTTTTTGCTTGAAAGCTAATGCGGGCGCAAGAAATGGCAAGTTATTCCATGACTTCTGGCCCTTTATCTCTGTGGGTCCGTCCTTTTGCTTCCCTCTCTCTCTCTCTCTCCCCCCCCCTCTCTCTCTCTCTCTTCCCCCTCTCTCTGTGGGTCGGTCCTTTTGATTGAAAAAGGCGTGCACAAGAAATGTTAAGCTGTTCCATGACATCTTGCTCTCTCTCTCTCTCCGTCGGTCGGTCCTTTTGCTTATCTCTCTCTCTCTCTCTCCTCTTTCTCGGAAAACTAATGTCAAGGATGCATGAATATATACAGCTCCACATCAACTGTGCAGTAAGTGGCGAGCACACCTGCAGCGGGAGGGTGGGTTCTTCATTCTTTCTCGGCCAAGAGATTTTTTGTTCATCATGGTCATATCGAGCAGCAGGGAAGGCTCCTCCTCTGCCCGCCGCCTCGGCTCTGGCGGTGTAGCTTCATCCCGCTCATCCGCGAAGGCTGCGCCCTCGCCAATCTCTTCCCTGCGGAGTTGACCAACGCCGCCTTTTTCAGTCAACCCCTTCTCTCCTCTCTCTCTCTCTCTCTCTCTCTTCCTCCCTCCCTACGTACCTATTTCGTAGAACAGCTCGTTGACGTTCTGCGCCGTCTTGGCCGACGTCTCGAGGAAGAGCAGCCCGTTGTCCTCCGCGTAGAGCTTCCCCTCCTGAGCACCACCGCCGCCGTTGACTTTGTATCCCCCCATACCGAAAGAAGGCACAGAAGAAGAGAGGTCAACGTTGCCGTACCTCAGTGTCCACTCTTCTCTTCGGTTCCAAGTCGGCCTTGTTTCCCGCCAGCACCATCACCATCGCCGGATTGCCTGCCATCGTTTGTGAGGAAAATTAGAGCTGCATGGATACACAGAACTGTTGTTAGTCCTCTTCATTACCAGCACACGCCGATCATCAGTTCAAAAGTCAACCCACGTTGGATGGAGCAGACGACCTTCATACCTGCGCTCTAAGATCCTTGTTCTGAAGTTTTATGTCAGAATATTCGGCCTGTCCTCCACCAAGTCAACTGATCCTTTCTAGATTACTACGCACACGGTTGACTAAAAGGGTGGGTCCACAAGGAAGCTAGGTCAAAGCTTAGGCAGCCCAATTCGGAATCATCCGACAATGAATCCTTATGAACCTCATCTACCCACACGCGAAGACCAATTCGCATAAAAGGACAAACATTCAAAAGTAGAAATCCGCCCCCCGACTGTTGACTTGGAACATGTTGATAGAGTCAATGGGTGGAAAAGTCAGCGAGTAACCTCAACCCACAGCGGCCCAACACTGAGTCGGTCGATCCTACAAGTAACACGTCCATTCGATTCTACACTATTTTATACGTAAAACAACGCACGGATGCATGCAAATGAAACCCATTCAGATTCACGGCGATTACTATGAAAAGAAAAATCGGGCATTGAAAAGATTTTCTCTTTTTCCGCTAGAAAAATATCAGGCAAAAATGGCTGACCTTGTAGGTGAAGTTCTTCCACCCATTTCTTGGCCCGGACGAAACTCTCCTGAAAAATTGAGGCCATTGCGAGAAACGAACCGGTGATCATTCAATCAATCAATCACTTGCGAGTTCATACGAGTCGAGTGGAATCTGTCTCGGCGATCAAGAAAAATCATGCAGCGGCGTAGATCTCTGACTACTTTGGGAAGCTGCAACGTCCCTCGCAGGGCGAGTTCTTCGAGATGAACTGCAAGCAGCTTTTCTCAAAGCACTTGGGACATGCTATTTTTAGCTACCGAGAGGATGATGATTGGATGATTATCACCTATTCAAGTGCAAATCATGCAGAACCTAAAGGAATTCATGTGAATAATCGGAGCCTGGATCTGTCGCAGACAGCACCCTCTGGTGGGTGCAATGGAAGATGATGCCTTCTCGCAGAGCTTGGAATGTACGCAGGTAGAGGACGAGGAAGATGGCCGTTAATGGAAAAAGCAGGCGAAGCTGTAAGATGGGATTCCCACCATGCTGGAGATGTCGTAGACGACGACGGCGGCGGCGGCGCCGCGGTAGTACATGGGGGCCAAGCTGTGGTAGCGCTCCTGCCCCGCCGTGTCCCAGATGTCAAACTTGACGGTGCCTTCATTGAGAGACAAGGTCTGGGAGAAGAAGGCCGCCCCAATGGTTGACTCCTGCAGATGAAGTCAACCACCGCTGCCGTTGACTTCATGCACGCTGAGCCGTGTAGAGAGGAGAGGGGGACGGATAGCGTGGGAGATACCTGGTGGTCGTGGAACTGGCCCTTGACGAACCTGAGGACGAGGCTGGTCTTCCCGGTGCCCATATCGCCGAGCAGCACCTGCGGAGATCGACAGGCGGCTGTGTTTTCAGAAATTGATCCAGTGGACCTTCGACGTGGACAGTAGAAGGTTACAGATTATTATTCCTTTTTTAGAGAGGAGTTAGAGAGAGAATATGGAGATTTCGAATGGGATGAACGATCTCGTGTTGAAATGGATCGGAATTTTTCGATCAACGCTTCCTCCATTCATGTTGCAATATTGAAAGTTTTAGAGAGAGATTAACGATAATAACCAAAGCCATGCATCGTCTATCTCTCTCTTTCTTTCTCTCTCTCTCACACACACACGCTCTCTCTCTCTCTCTCTCTAACCCCATGTCGCCGAGGAGCACCTACGGAGATCCAAAGGCGGATGAGTTTTTAGAAATTGATCCAGAAGGCCTTCGACGTGGAGATTACAAGGTTTCAGAGTTCTTTAGAAGTGCCCAAGAGAGAAGAATGTGGAGATTCCGGACGAGAAAATGGATGGGAATTTTTCTGATCAACCTCTTCCTCCATTCATGTTGAAATATTTAGAGAGAGATTAACAATAACACCCAAAGCCACGCATCCTCTCTCTCTCTCTCTCTCTTCTCCCAAACAAAGCGGAATCTGAACAGCCACAGATATGCGAAGGATAAAAGGAGGACATACCCACCAGCTTGGCCTGTACATTATTTTCCGACCTCGCCATCCTCAGAAAACCAGACCCACCGGGAAGGAGCAGGAGCAGGAGCAGGAGCAGAACCCGACAGAGGAAGGAGGAAAGGAAGAAGAAAGGAAGAAAGACGAAAGTGAGAGAGGTAAGAGGCCTCTCCTGGCCTCTTTTCTATCTGCGTTTCTGAGACGAGAATGTTAGGTTTCCGACGAAGCCGTTGACTGGCAGATGCCAGCGGAAGTCAAGATCCGGACCGTTTGCAACCATCACCGACGAACCGAGACGAACCCGTGAGGAGTTACTAAAAAAAGATCAAAAGATCATGCTTCTGATTATACTCACCCACCAAGAATCCAGACCCATTTGTTCACGATGACCACAAATGACTAAAAACCCTTCCTTTATCAGGCTGGAAGATGACCCAGAACGTCACGTCAGGCGGTGCTCCTCGCAGGAGTGCTGGCGTAGGTGATCTTCCACAACTCCAGGTCCTCCCCTCCATCATACCCTTGCAGGTAGCAGGGGACCGAAGCAAGGTCGATCTGATGGCCCACAAAGCGCGGCAATGATGACGTGGCCCCAAGTTGACCGCATTCTGGCACGTGGCAACACAGGACAAGACGATCCGGTGGGTCACACCTCCCGGTCAGCGAGGCATCCAAAAATGGAACTGTAAAATGCTCAATGATGTCAAAGGACCAACACCAACCCATGAACACAGCCAATCAAAAAATGACACGTGGAGAAACAGTGGGAAAAAAACCGACCTTCTTCATCTCTGAAATAGCTTCGGAAATGCTGATACCCATTTGCGACGACGTTGAGATCATCGAGACTGAAATTATACCTCTTCTCCAACGCCAAGTAGAGTACCTGAAAAGGAAAGGTATAGAAAAGATTACCACCCTTTTCTCCCACTTTCATGGAAGACAATGTGGCTGCTGCTGCTTCTCTGCTCCTCTACCTTCTCAGAGCCTCGAGACATTAATCCCTCCACAATGCCGAAGAACAAGTCGGTCAGCTCATCGCTGTAGATCACGTCGGCGGCCAACAGCACAGAGACACCCTCAGCTTCCTCAATCTCCGCAGAGCTCCACGAATACCTGGACCTGGGTTACACCATCCATTCAATCAGAGAGCCCGCCTGCTGAAAGAAGCCTAGTTCACAAGGGCTCATCCTCTTCCTGCCCTTCACAGCATACAAAACAAGAGAGAGAAAGTAATTTGAAAGATGACTGCAGCTCCCTGGTTCAGAGGACGCACTGCTCCACAGTCGGCGGCCACCCCTTTCCCCAATCAACCTCGCGCAGACAAACTGCAGCCGCGCCATGGTTGAATGCGGCGGAGTTCAGACGAACATTGGTAGCACAGTTGTCGAGGATTTCAGCAGTCCTGTCTGTAGAATGCCGGGTCAAGAAATGCAATCATTTTTCAATGAAACTTATTTCTGATCTTGCTGCTTCCTTCCACATCATCCAATTAGGTTCCTACCAAAGGCTGGGGATGTTTGAATGGAATGGGAAATATATGGGCATAGTTTCCTAGCAATTGGATCCATCTTGACATGTTCATTCATAAAAGGGGGAGATGTCGAATGATAAGAGTAAGTATCGAAAGGGATGATCCACAAGTAGCATACCTGTTAAGAAAACCCTCCTAGAAATACGTGCAAGTAGAATACCCACAAAGCCTGTTCAAAGACCACCTTTTAGACAAAAAGATCTACAAACAACATGGAAAGTTACGGATTTGGCAGCCAGATATTGATTCAATATGAATTGCATAAAAATACATTCTTACAACAAGCTTTTAGTATGATATGATGTCTTAATATGGATAAAATCTCCACTATAGAAAGAAAGAAAGAAAAAAAAGGAAAAATCTGCTAAGACTTAATATGATGTCTGATTCCAATGGTGCTTGAGAATTCTGCAGCATGGAACATCTCTTGTTCCAATGACGCAAGTAAAAATCTGCTAAGACACTATAGATATATAAATACACATCTCCAAATTGAGCAATGCTGTGAGTATTTTCTTTCTCTCCACTGAGTTTTGGGGCTTTATAGTTGATAAAAAAGATTTTTTTATTCATTAAAAAATCATCTTCAAGGGCCATTCATCTCATGCACCTGAGTAAATCCATTATGCAACGACAAAAAAAAAAAAAAAAAAAAACGAAATGGTCATCAGTTTTAAAACACCATCGATCTCACCTGTTCCAGCTCCAAGTTCTAACGCGGTAATGCCATCAAATTCAGATGATGTGGCAGTAACATGCACAACGAAGTCAGCCAACACCATTGCTGCTTTCCACACCTAATATGAAACTGGAAATTATTAAAATTTGAACTTTTGGATCATTTTAAACGCAAATACTACCTGCAATCCAACGTCTGGTATGGTGGACGTTATCCTATGCTGGATGGCCACTTCGTAGCTCTTGCAAGTCTCTCCATGCATGCATATGGTATTATTTCAAACAATAATGTTAGATGCTCGAAAGTTCATTTGATGGTGCACAGAGGCATTGAAATAATCTGATACAAAATAATCAACATAACAGCATTAATCTGGAAAGTAAAATATCACAAAAAATAACTAACCATAAATGAGTGTCCGAAAGAAAGCACCAATGGGAAAGGAAGTACTAACCATAATCATATACAGCACATCATCTATATTGCATTGATTGATCACCCAATATGCCCGAACAAGAGGCAAAGACACCAAGAACAAGACATGATTCTTATTTCCCTACGGTTTTCTTGATGTGTAAGTGCTTCTTCAGATTGAGTGTAAGATTGATTGCCACAAGTCATCTATTTTTATCATATTGACCGAAGGAATGTATCCTTTCTGGGAACTAAATATGGCAATGTGGGCCGTCCGACCAGTTAAGCCGAGAAGAATCCATATGTTAGCAGAGGAAACTCCAAGTAGAGACTAGTGTGGGGCCAATCCTCCACTGATGCGCGAAGTGTGGATAGACATGTGAAAAGAAAATGAGATGAGTAGAAGGAAGATGAAATGACGCAGGAGAAGATCAGCCAGTCCAAGTTTTTTCCTTCCTTTATGGCTTACTAGCTGGGATCCAAGAAGCTAGGCACTTGGCTTTACCCCCTGGCTCGGTCTCTTCACTGAATTTGGCTTCAGGTAAGGAGCGTAATGATCGATTATGGAGCTCAGATTTAGGTCTTGGATGGGGATTTCAGCTTTGCATGAACTCAAGCTTCTGAGAATGTGGATTTTGAGAAGATTCTACTTAACCCGATGTGCCTGAGACTCTACATATGGCTTTGGTTCTCCGACTGGATGCTGATCATGGCTGACCATCTACTTCTTGACAATCTGAGCTTCAGCGGAATTAACGTGCTGCTGCAGGGCATTCATTAACGGATTGTTCTTCAAAAGATCCAGAGTCAACGTACAGCTACAAGACCGGATAAGCTAAGCAGTGGGCTTTATTCCGGCTTGGGCTATTAAATGAATTTGGGTTCAGGTAAGGAAAGTAATGATCGATTATTGAGTTAGGATTTGGGACTTGGATGGGAGTTTCCAGCTTTAGATGAGCTCAAGCTGCTGAGAATGAGGGTTCTGAGAAGATTCTGCTTGACACCGTTGTGCCCCAGACTCTAAATGGGGCTTCGGTTCTCTCCCTGGATGGTGGTCATGGTTGAGACCATCTACTTTCTGACAATATGAATTTCGGCGGAGTCAACGCACTGCTGCAGGACATCCATTAACGCATTGTTTTCCAAAAGATTCAGAGATTCTGGCTATAAAATTGTCCCTACATTATTCGCCCATAACCCGAAATTTATATCATAAGAGGGCTATGGATATTGGAGAATTACTCCGTCGTCTGGGAAGAACGAGATCTCCATCTTCGTCCAAGCTCTGCGCTTGGACTGATGCGCCCTTTCTAGCTTCAAGTGCACCATCTTCGTCCTCTTCTATCAAGAAAATTTTAGAAAATAGGGTAAATATGAAACTAAATGAAGAACATGAATAGAATGTAGATGAGCTGATAAACCCTCAATCTGCGCCAGTCGAGTAAAGGGTGCCGATGATCCTAGAGAAACATCTGACAAAGCATCTTCGCACCGAAAAATCCCTCCTCAGGCCCTTGAAGACGGACTCCACCGTTGAAGGTCCCAGTGCCTCGGAGGGAGGAGGGAGAGAAGAGAGGGAGGGGGGATTATACCTGATGAGCAAGGGAGGGAGAAGGTGAAGCGGGAGACGAAGGGCCCGGAGTAGTGAGGTGGGCAGCCGAGGTGCACCTCGCTCATGACCTCGTCCCCCTCCAGTGTTTCTGCTGCCGCGATGTCATGGCTTCCTCCTCCCATGAGGTTCGGGTTCCTCTCTGAAATTCCCCCTCAAAGCCCTCCCGCTTATTGTATCCCGCGCGGTGGTCCGCGCGAGCGCACGCGGCGTGCGCACATCTGGCGCGATGCAGCACGGCGCGCCCGGAGAGACGCCGTGTGCTCAGAGGCAGACGACAGCTTGCGCACGGCCGGTGGCGAGCGACACATAACGGTGCAGGCGTGGCACGGGGGCCCGGTGCGGCCATGAATAGCGCCAACGGGCAGGATTGCTGGTCCTATGAGAGTTTGAAACGTCTATAACCAAAACTTGTATCTTGTATATTGAAACTTGCACCTTGTAAACACTCTAATTCTTCTCTACTTATTTTGATTTTGAAACATATTTGTCTTTATGCATGATCCCTTCATTTAATATATACTTTTCTAACTCCTCATAATCTTCTGATTTTGATTGTCTCAAAATTAATAGTCAAATTGATAATCAGGACATTTATAGTTACCTATTTATCAAGTGGGTAACGGCTTCTACCTAAAATGTCTTTGACAACCCAAGAAGTAATCACATGCTCCTGGCTTGCTCATTCAAAGTCAAATTAATCTACTAATCAACTATGCTTTGATGTGTATCTGAATCATATGTTTTGAAGATAATTATTTAAATTATTGAATATCACATTCTCCACCATTATTAGACCGTAAATATGTAATGTTATATCTCAACTTACGCTCAATATAATTCTTCACTTTTTCATAAAAGTCATAGAAATATCAGATTTATTTTTGAGAAAATAAACCTATAGTTTTCAAGTTTAGTCCTTGAAAGTCATAGAATATCTTCATCCTCTAAGGAAAGAAACAAGTGCAGACTCCATAGATCATTATGTAATAATCCCCACTTCTTAGATTTTGGTAACATTGTAAGTTTAGGGAATAACACTCTTTTCTACTTGTCTAGAATATAATATAGTCTTCGTAGAAACCCAAATCTATTGATTTTAAGTCTTGTTGTAGCTTAGTCTTTTTTAGCACCACCTTGATTCCTTTTTTTACTCTTGTGACCCTAAATGTAGAATCCAAGATTCTAGAGGATTATCTTTGCTTAGCATTGAAGAATCATGTAATTTTGATGATGTTGAGTTGTTTGAATTATCATGCCTTTTGATTTTGATTTTGATTTTTTTTGTTTATAGTATTTATTTAGTGTGTCCTATTTTTCCACATTATGAATATTTCTCACTTCTTGACAAGGAGTTGTTTCTTCCTTTTGATATTTTTATATTACTCTCTTGACCTCACTAGGGTCGGTCTTCATCTTCCCCTACCTTTAATGCTCAAGGAAAATTATATTTTTTTTCCTTGACTTTTTTCTAGTGAATATCTTCACTAAGAATTAAATCTTGGAGCTCATTCAACTTTAATTTTCTCTATCTATATGAACTAATCACATTAGTCACCTTGGAACCCCAACTCTCAAGTAAAGAAGATAATATGATTAAATTCTTGGCTCTTCATCAAAATGAATGTCAATAGAACTCAATTAACAAAGGATCATATTGAATTAATTTATGTGGTTAGAAATGAAAATACCTTCAATCATCTTTAAATTAAAGAAATGACACAAGGTTTGCTACAGATGATTTTTCATATATGTTAGATAGGGTTGACATCAAACTTGATGTAGTTTTCTCATTCAAGACATTGAATGCAATATTTCTAGCCAGAGTTTGCTTATTGACTCCAAGTGCATATCTATCAAACAACTCTTAATTAACTTGAGACATCCTCTTAGGGTTCACACCAAAACATAATTTGATAGAGGTTTTTCTTAGTACATGTAATCTTCTACTTTCATTCTATTGAATGCAAAGTTATTTATATTGAATTTTTAAATTATAATTTCTTCTTCTTTCAATATTTATGCCTCTCACTCTTTTTCTAGAGTTGTGAATCCAATTTTGAGAAGAATTATCTAATTCCAATTGTCACGCAAAAAATAAAAATTAAGAACTAATAGCACTCCCTCCTCTTTGTCAAAGATGAAAGACTTCAAAAAAGAGTGTGAACAGTCAAAGTCACAAGGGATAAGATACTCATTGAATATATCACAATAGTTTTTCATTATCATAAAACTCATATCTTCCTCTACCCTTTGAGGATTGAACTACCGTCCCCAGCGTTGGCCCTCACAACAAAATATCTCATCTTTCTATTTTTCTTTTCATATATGACAACACTACGTGTTGGAAACCCTACGTTACTCCATTTCGCCATGCGCTCTCACACTACCATGCATGCTCGTCTCACTTGTGTTACTCTATCTTGAGCTGTGTTCCCTTGTGCACAGACACCAGAACATCAAGCGCCACAACCGCCCTCTTCTCATGCTCTCCCTTGTCTGCACGTAAAGCCACTCTAGGACTTGGAAACCGATGAGGTAGAGGCGTGACACTCTCTTCTGACTCTCTACAACATATGTGGCAGGCCACCTTGGACCAAACTATGCATGTGCCAGCCCATTCTAGGCCCTATCAATTTCTGCCCACGTGGTCAACGCTGGGCGCCAAAGTTATGCATGTCCTCGTTGATCCCCTCTCCATCTTTGTGAAGGTATCCCTTCTGATGTTGACGCAAATCTACTTGCTGACGCCACAAGCTGACGGAGGTTGACTGAAGAGGAAGGAAGAAGAGTGAGAAGAAGAAAGAAGAGTAAGAAGAAGAAGAAGACCACCAAACGCGGGTTGAGTCGGCCGATACCTCGGTTCATTGATTCGTTCGCCGTTGATCGGCCCCATCCCGGCGGCCGAGACGTGGACAACGGTTGGACTTCCCCCGGACAAGGCAGCTGTCATCCTTTTTTGTCGGGGTAGCCCCCCACTTCCCGCTCTCCACCGCCACCGCCACCGCCACCGCCACCGCCGCCCGCAGACTTTTGAGAAGATTTTCGTTTTCTTCCCGCCAAATCAAGGAATCGGCGCCGGAGTTGATGCTCCTCCAGCTGTCCACGCGGCAGCGCTGCCCTTCGTTCTTTACGAGGCCAGTCTTGCTCCAGCTGGCGGCGACGGCGACGGCGGCGCCACCAGGATGTGCCCGCCTGGCCCAGGTCGACGGTTGGTCCCTCCTGCTCCGACGGCCGCGTGAATGGCGGACGGCGGCGAATGGGTCTCCCGGGTTCATTGGCGGAGCCGCGGCGGGGGCGGAAAGGACAGGCAGAAAGCACGAAAGTTTCCACTTTTAGGCCTCCAAAGACGGAAATCGTCATTTTTTTGTTAAATTAAGCTGAAAAATTCACGTGTTCAGATACTGCTGTTCGGGAGCCTTATACCCATTTTACCCCTTTACCAGACCTTTATGACTCGGCTACCGTTCAGTTTAAATTTTGAATGAGCTGGAGGGGGTATGTGGGTCCCGCATGGACCCCACAAACACAGTCCCTCTATCTTTCTCTCTCTCTATCTCTAACCACTTTCCTACGTTTTATTATTTGTTTTTGGGATCCAAATAGTTGCATTTGTTTAAATACCCTCCCCACCGTTGAACCTTTTCTACCACCACCACTACTCTCTCTCTTTCCCTCTCTCTCTCTCTCTCTCTCTCTCTCTCTATTTCTCTCTCTTCTGGACGATCGATCCTTTCCTCTTCCGCACCGTGAATGGCCGCCGGCTGTGGCAGATTGCGGAGACCGACGGTTAGGGAAGAAGATTGAGGGAGAGACGGGGATAAGGGAGGAGCTCGGATCCTATTCAGCTGTGATTCTTCTCATTGTCCCCCTCCTTTGCCTGCTGTATTGCCATTTTTTGTGGAGATCATTGAGCGAAGGACGAGATGTTTGATGCCTTTCTCGGGAAGAAGTTCACGGTGAAATGGTAAGCCTTAGTCTCCGAGTCTCTTCTGCTGCATATGGATCATTGCTCTCCTCCTCTGGCCTTCCCCGGTTTCCTTATTTTTCCTCTTTTCGATTATGGTTCTTGTTTTCGACGGGGCGGAACTCGTTGATTATCGTTCCATCTTCCACCTCCTTCTTCCGTATGACGTGTGTCGGCAGCGTGAGTGCGCGTGCGGATGGATTTCTCGAAATTCAGCTTCTGTTTTCTCTTTTCGCCAACTTTTTCTCCCTCACTTTATCGGTATCATCTCTCAATTCGCGTTTCTAACCACGAGCTCATTCCATGGAGTTGTCCTTGTTCCTCTTTATTTTTAATCGACTGATTTTTCTTGGTATATTCATTCGCTTAAGCCAGAGTAGAACCAGATGGATTTATATTTTTTTTCCGGTTTTTCTCTGGGTCTTGTCTTTGTATCTGCTATGTTAGCGCTGCATGCGTGAGAGTTTCGTGCTAATCCGCCTGCTAATGATGGACGCAGCAAGCACGCGATCAAGTGCATCAATGAGAGGTTGAAGCCCATACGCAACAGGAAGCAGGCTGTGGTCAACATCCTGAAGAAGGACATCGCCGATCTCCTCCGCAACGGCAGTGACAGCCGTGCCTTCAGCCGGGTGACTCTATGACCGATTCAATGAGTTTTCCTTCCGCATGTCCGAAGTTTAGGCTGAAAAGGATGCATGAATCAGTTGAGTCAGTGGTCATGCTACTCTTGTGAATCTGAGGCGTATCCTTCTTCCGTGTCCTAGATGAATACTTGTTCTTGGATTCTTGGGTTCTTGGTTCCGTGGGTTAGTTGGTGAGGACATGAATGATCCTATCTTGAACGGGTAGTTTCTTCCATTTCTTTTCTATTTTTAGCGATCGTCTGATGCTATCCAAGATAGTTTTTAATCTTCGCTGTCCATCTGTTTGCCTTTGAGGTTTCCTGCGCCACCAGTCGTCCCACGTTAATAATCTCTGGTGTTAATGCTGCTTCAGTTTTTAGTCAACTTATTGGATGAATCTACCAGTGATCATGTTGCCATCTGGGGGGATTGCTAATTCAGGCTATCCAAAACTGCCTTGCCCTGAAAAACATGGACATAATATTCTATCATGATTTCGTTTTCTTATACAAGTATCTGACAGATATTTAAATTCTATTGTGTTTGATCAGATGGATGAACTTATCATCGAGATGAACCGCTTAGCGTGCTACGATATCATAGAGAACTTCTGCCAGTGTCTCTATAAGCAGCTTCCATTGCTTCAGAAGCAGAGGTAGGCTCGGAAGAAGAAGTCTTTGGTTGGAGAGAACTGACATCTAGTGACTTGTGCTACAAATATTCTTATTTTGTGTTTGCATTCTTCTTTTGTTTTCAGATTATTTTTGTGTCAGACAGGGATGAGGCGTGGTTGACTTTTAGATTCTAGTAATGGGTCTTGATGTTCTTCTGTTCGTGACCATCACAGGGAATGCCCACCGGAGGATATGGAATCTGTGTCCACGTTGATTTTCGCTGCCGCCAGGTTCTCAGATTTGCCAGAATTATGCAATCTGAGGACTGTGTTCATGATGCGTTATGGGAATCCCCTGGAAGGATTTGTAAACCCAGAGGTACAAAAGTCATATTGCCGCCATTGAGGTTGACTTAGGGTGGGGGTTGACTTGCATGGGTTGGGTGTCTGACTAAAAGTGTAACTTTTTTTTTGCCGCCAGTTTAAAGACAAAGCAGCGGCAAAGTCTTTTCCTCCCGCCAAGAAGCTTCAGCTGATGAAGGACATCGCATGCGAGTTCAATGTCAACTGGGATTCTGCTTCTTTCAACCATGAGAATCCCGCTGCATCTTATTGCGTAAGTGCCTCGGCTCATCTTTGAAATCTTCGGTCATTCCGTCAAAGTCAAACTCATGATTACCCCCGCGAGTTTTTCCTTTTATCCTCCCTTGTGCTTGTGCTATTTCTTTCCTGAAAAACTGAGGGTGATCTTCGGTCAACGCTTCAGAAGCGACACAAGAAGGGGCATCCTCCGGCTGTTAGGGAAGACGCTACCTCCATGGGCAGAGACCAAGAACCGGTGAGGAAGCCGAAGAAGGTTTGGGCCGCTGAACCAGAAAATGTGACGCCACCACCGCCCATTGCTTCTCCTCTTCCTCGTGAAAATATCAAGCATGAGGAGACGAAGAGGGTGGCGGCGCCCTTCAGAGCTCGGGAAGAGAGGAACCCACAAGTCAACGACGGCGGCGGGCTGGTGGTTAATCAGCCCAAACCCAAGGAGGACGCCGTCGCCGCCGCCGCCCCCGCCGCCGCCAGAAGTAGAGTCCGCCCCTTGTTCTCCCCGGAGACGTCGAATGGTGGCGACAGCACCGCCGTTGGCAGGAGGTCAACGAGGTCTTATGCGAAGGTCAACGCAATTGATGAAGAGAAAGTCAGCGACAGGGATGGACCTCGCATCTATTCAAAGGTGCCGACATGGAGACAGGAGGGAGGTCTACAGGACCCACAAGCTGCCAAGCATGAAGGCCGGAATGCAGGTGGCGCCGCTAAGGAGAGGGCGCCGGTCGGCCTCACAGGGGCGACAGCGACGGCGCCGCCACCGCAGAGGGCTGTTAAAGAGAGGACTTTGCACTCAATTCCTCCTCCGTATGTGAAGACCGTAGTCGGGCCCAAGGCCGAGCGCCACCAGCCTCCCAGCCCGCCGCCGGAGAAGCCGGGCAGGAAGGAAGACGAAGACGAAAAAGAAGAACCTCGTGCAGTCTACGGCGAGAGGCCTAAGCCGAGGTCAATGAGGAGAAAGCCGCCACCGCCGGTCGTCGCTGCCGCCGGGGAGGAGGCGACGCCGCCGCGGCGCCACCACGAGCGGCGGAGGATCATCGTCGGTGACGGAGAAGGCCTCGACGAAGAGGAGAACGTGGAGCAGCTGCTGATCCACTACAGCAGGAAGGATAAGGGGAAGGAGCCGATGGGACCCGCTTGGACTCGGCCCGACTCACCGAGTCTCCCCGAGTCTGACGAACTCGCCGCCAGGTTCGCCGGGCTCAAGGCTGGTGGTGCCTGGGGGTAGTGGTAGTAGCCAACAGAGATGTACTGACCGTTGCTTTGAGGTGATTGGTTCAGCCATGACAGGGGTACAGATTCCGTCAGAGATAGAGAGAGAGAGTCGTCAGATAGAGAGAGAGAGAGAGACAGAGAGAGCCGCTGCTCGACAACTAAAAACTATACAGGGCGAGTCTCTGCCCAAGATCCTACTGCGTCAATGGTGAACTGGGCAGAGGTCAGTCTAATAGGACAGCGTCACCCCTCTCCCCTTCATCTCTCTCTCTCTCTCTCTATCTATACTCTCTCTATACTCTCTTTCTCTATCTCTAGCTCTCTCTCTCTCTCTCTTTGGCTGTGTATGGGGACGTCAGTGGTGATCGCGGCGAGCCTGGCCTTGGTCTTCGTCCTTGTTCTCGTGCTCTCCATCAAGCTCTGCTTCTCACCCCGGCCGGAGGACTCGGCCCTCCCGATCGCCGCCGCCGGGAAGCGGCGTAAGATGACGCCGCCGGGGGCGACAGAGGCGGGCGGTGATGGTCCACCGGTAGCGCCTCCCAGCACCGCCGCGTTCTACTCCCACGGGGTCCTGCAGGCTCCGAGTGGCTTCCTCTTCTCCTCGGGAGGGCCTACCGGTCTGCACCTCGTCGGCGTCGTCACCTCTTCTTCTTCCTTCACCGTCGCTGGCGGCGCCGCCGGGAGGTCTCCGGCGGGGCGCTTCACCTGCATTTCCAATCCCATCTACCATGGCGCCACCAGCGGAGAGGACGACGGCGGGGGCACCACTCCGTTCGAGACGCCGGCCACGTCGCCCTCGCACCTGGAGGGGGACGACTGCGAGGCCTCCCCGCCGCTGAAGCCGATGCAGCGGCTACCGGCAGCGGCGGAGGGGCGGCGATCCCTCGCCACCTCCGTCAGCGCCACCGATACCAACCGGCGCTCCTCCTCCTCCTCCAACTCTCCCGGGTCCTCCAACTCTCTCTGGTGGTGGCCATGACCGAGCGGCGGCCAAAACGCCATCGCCGCCGTCGTTCGAGCTTCTTTCGCCGTCGCCGGAGACGGCGACGAGGTCCTGTGAGGGCGAGGAAGAGGTCAAGGGTTCGGGTGGAACCCTAACCTCGGGGCTGACGGAGATTTTCTACCCCCCCCCCCCCACCGCTTCAACCCCCGCTTCATATAATAGCCATGCATCTGCAGCTACCTTCTTGACTTCTGTCCTCTCCAAGTCTAACGCCAGGAGAACCAACCTTTACTCATATGGGTGACAGGAGGGAGAGAGAGAGAGAGAGCGAGAAAGTTATGGAGAGAGAGAGGATAGAGAAAGAGAAAGTTATGGAGAGAGAGGATAGAGAGAGAGAGAGAGGACATATATATAGAGAGAAGTTAGTTCGCCCAGCTGGTTTCCGGTGGATGAAGTTCCACTTCTAAGACGACAGGAATAATTCCAATAGTAAAAAAAACTCCATTTTCTGAAAAGCGTAAATATACTTCTGAAATTTATAAAAAACCCCCGCCTCCCCTCCCCCTTCTCCCTCTCTCTCTCTCGTGACGCTGGCTACTCTGCCTTCGTCCCGTGAAAAAGTAGCGGCCGAGGCTTTAGAGAATATTTGAGCGCAGCCCCTCATTCTCCATTATATTACGTAGTGATCCTCGTCTAATAATTGCATTTGTACCATGCCTCCGGAGATAGAGGATCGAGAGAGAGACAGGAGCATTGTCTTCCATAGCTCGCCCAGCTGGCTTCCGTTGGTTGAAATTCTACTTCCAAGACGACCGGAAATACATTATAATAAGAAAAAAGCCCTACTGTTTGTAAATTGTAAAGGTACTTCTGAAATATATAAAAAACCTCATCTAAGTATCTCTTTTGCTTATAACGCTGTTTGATCCGCCTTCGTCACGTGAAAAGCCAGGCGCCGAGGCTTTACAGAAAATTTGCGCGCAGACCCTCATTCTGTTATATTACGTTGGAACCTCGTCTGATAATTGCATTTATGTCCATGCCTCCGGGGCCCAAATCCAATCAAGCTAAAAGCCTATTATAAGCCCGTAAAAAAAAATAGGGGGTCGTCCGGAGTTTGACCGAGAGAGAGATAGAGAAATAATAGGTCAACGGTGGAAGGACTGCCTAAATAGAAGTCAACGATTCGGAGTCTTCGCCAGCCCATTAGGAGGCATTTGAAGGCTCGGTAGGGACCTTGACTAAGCCGAGTTGACCGCCCTCCTTGTTCGCCATAGTCGCGGCTTTGACCTCATTGCACTGGTTTATGAACTTGGTCAACTCCTGAAAAAAAAGAAAAAGAAAAGAAGAGAGCCCATTTCAAACCTCAGGAATCGGATAAATCCAGCTGCCAGATCAAGATGACAAATTTGGCATGCCGCCACTCTGACCTGATGCATGACGAGGATGAAGATGAACATGGTCAAGAACTAAAAAAGAAACCCTAATCCTAATCCTGTGCATCTCTCTATCTCTCTCTCTTTCTCTCAGAGAGCTTCTGGGTGCAGAGAAGACCCTAAGATCTTCTGATGAACAGACACGAGATGGACAATGACCAAAGCTTTCAAGGTGGCCATAGCGATGGAGATGGAACTGCCCACTGCCATTACAACAATGTCAACTGATGACGATAGATCGAAAGCTCTGATGAACACGAAAAGATCATATGGTCAGCTAACAGCTGAGAAAACTAGATGAAATTCGATAATGACTCAGAGGATGCTGCTAGCTTCAATGGGCATGGTAACAAGGTAAAATGAGAGAGAAATGCTCTGAAAAAGCGTGAACTATGTTTCTTTCTTGGACCTCTACAGAAGGCACAATTTCCAGGGGACGATGATCGGCAGATTTGCTCCGTTCGACAAGGGAAGCTTGAGGTGAACAATTCAAACAGTCCGATGAACAGTAACCAGCCGGGAGATCGAGAATCTAATCATGATGGCGCAAGATTGAGGTTCAAAATTCATCGGAATCTCGTTCTATCAGGATCTAATTTTTGCAAGAATAAACGATCTGCGGGAGCCAGAGGTGAGAGAAATAGGGACAAGGGGGGTGTATAACTACCCCGGAGGATCGAGTAAACCAGCGGGAGATCGAGATTCTCTAATCATGATGGCGCGAGTCTGATTGAGGTTCACAATTCTTCGAAATCATCATTTCACAGGGGAATCTCGTTCTATCAGGACCTAATTTTTCCAAAAATAATCGATCTGCGGGAGCCGGAGGTGAGAGAAATAGGGACAAGGAGGATGGGTAACTACCCGATCGAGTTCCATCTCCTTGGTCGTCGTCGAGGGCTTCACGAATCTCTTCCCTGCGCAGAACCAGATCCCGAATCAGTCCGAGACTTCTGGGAGCGGAGAAAGAAAAACCTCAATCCGGACAAGAGAATGAGGAGAAAAAAAGGGGGGAATCGGGCGGCACCTTTGCGGGTGGCGGGGGTCTTCCCGTGCCGGCTTGGAGGGATGGTCTTCCTCTTCTTCTGCCCCTTGAACAGCGCCCCCTTCTGCGTCATCGCTCCCAACGCTGCCAGAGAGAGAGAGAGAGAGAGAGAGAGAGAGACGTTTAGGGTTTTGAGAGCGAAAGAGAGTGGTACAAGAAGAGGCAATCCTTTCGTTTAAACCTTTATATTATGAATAGTTGTGCATATACTCTGAACGAGGGAAGTTCCTAGATGGTCAAAGGCAACGTTGACGATGGGCCTCAATTGGTCAACCTGGGTCCCTGACCAGTTTAAAATCAACTGGGAATTCGGTCCCTACTCGGCCAATTTCTCCGGCGGGTCAACTCTCCGGCGGTCCATCTTAGCAAGCCCGCCGCCGTCCTCTTCACCGGAGAAAGGAAACCAGAGACACCCATGAGGACGGCGGCGCCGCCGTCTGCTTCGTCGGAAGAAGGGAACTTGACTTGCGGCGATGGAGAAGAAGGTTCATGGCGGAGGCTCGGGCGGCGCAACCTCGCGTGAGAAAAGCATGGTGAAGGTAGGAGTTACCTACCAAGTTGAGTCAATCTTTTTACAGAGTGGAATGGCGGGTGGGGTCTGGCGGAAAAGCCGAGGCTTTTGAAGACGGGGAATGGAAGGAAGAGGAAGTTTGGACACTGGTTTTTACGGCAGGGTTGACCGCAGAAGAGGGCTTCCCTTTCTCTCTCTATCCACCTGGGTAGCACCATTTCTTGTTCACACCCGTAAAACGTTATATTAATCCATCCATCTATCTTTTCAACTCTGCCCATTACCGGACACTATCTGTCCTCTCTCTCTCTCTCCTCTCCTTTTCTCTGTCCTCCCTCGTTGCTGCGCTGTGTGTTGATTCGAGCCTGCCGGTCTCTGCACCGACTCGGAGAAATCGATGGATTGATAGAGAGCGAGCGAGAGAGAGAGAAAGGAGAAGGGGGAGGCGCGGTGATTCGAGCATCCCTCTTCTGATATATATAGCGAAAGATTTTGGGGAATTTTGGGGCAGCTTCTCCCCTCGGCGATCTGGTACGATTGGGGGGGTCTGCGGAAGGACGGGTGAGCATGAGATACCATGATCTCACAGCCTCTTTTCCCCTATATTTGCCATTTTATTTCTCAGATTTCGTTGATCAGCTGGGAAACCAGAGATTTTGTTCGTGGCGTTCTTTCGTTCTCGCCCTCCCGACATTCTTGTTCTCGTTCTTGTCCTTTAAAGGGATCCCTTTTCTTGGAGGATGATCTTTCTCCCTTTTGGGCGAAATTGGGGTCTCCTAATCGCCGTGCCATTCTTCTGCTTCTATTCATGGATCCCTTCCTGCAGAGAAGCTTTGCGAGGAATCCTTGAAGCCCCCTTCCTTCTCTTCCTCAAGATTTCATCTTTCTCTATTGGGTCTCTCTTTCTTGCCCCGTGAGATGACGTTAGATTATTTATGAGGCCAGGCCAGGCCTGTTCTTCAGTTCTCCAGCTGACCTCTTCTCTCCAAGAGCCCCGTTGTTGCGGTTATCTTTCTCTTGGCATTGATTGCTAGTTGATCAAGCTGTGGGCTGTTTCAGCATCGGGGGTCTCGGTTTTCTGAAACAGTAGAATTGGACTTCCATACATATGGTTGGATCGTCTTTGACTTTATCAGATTTTTTTCTCAATAAAATAAAATAAAATAAAAATAAAAATCGGGTGCATTCCGACTCTAGGTATCCTTTCTCTTCCCGAAGGTACAGGGCTTAGTAGACATGGAAATAGATGGAATAAAAGAGCTGGGCTTGGAGCCTGGAGAACCTGTGATTGGAGTGATCTTCTCAATCAGATATAAATGGCTTCATATCCATGAAACTGCGGATGTCTGTGGTCCGTGAGTTCTTTGAGATATCAAAATTTCAGGCTGTCTAAGTCCTGTGTGTTGCCCTCAAGATTGGATCTCATGGAATGAGAAATGCCATTAGGAATAATTACCCTCAACAGCTGGTCACCAAACCCCACTAGGAATAATTGGGATTGTTAGGCAAGGGTAAGGTTAATCTATCTTTAATACAGCAACTTTTTCTGGGTTTTCCATTGAAGCATCATTTTACTGAAAAAAGTGAAAATTTTTGTGTTGTTCATGCTAAAATTGCATTGTTCAGGCTGACCTCGCAGACGTATCTTGGTTTGCATTCCTCTCATTTTGTTCCTCTGAAAAACTCTTAGTGAGGAGTTTTCATTCGTCTCTTAGAAAACCTAAAATGTGGGTCATTCTGTCATCTCTATATGTGTTCTTTGTCCCTTTAGATTTCCTAAATGCATAGTTTATGCTTTCTTGTACATTAATTGTGATGTTTCTAATTGCCTGTACATCCTGTCATGGCATTCAGCTGGACTTGTGCATCCGTTTTACACGGGGAATGGCTATGGACTAATTCCGAGGGTACACACTATGCTAGGGTTTGATCCGTCATGCATTACATGTGACCATTTTGGGCGAGACTTATACACTCAATGCCTACACTAGTTATTTTTATTCACACCCAGAAGAAGTAATTCACTTCAAAACCTTTCTCGCGCATTTCTTCGCTGAATGTGTGCTTGCTGAGACACATGCGGGGAACCCTCTCGAACATTGTTCCCCCACTTTACTCTTCTTCCCCTTTTTGTCTCTGTATCTAGGAAGATTGTTCTTCCCGTCGTTTTCTCTCTCGTCGATGGCGAGAGTCCATGAGTTCAATACGAAGTATTTTGTCTGCACTGCTTTGTTCAGATTCGATCCTCTATGTTCCCATGCTGGGCATCCCATTTGACATTAGGACATGTAATTCAGATACCATTTGCACCCATTCCGGAACTTCTGTGCAGATTCCTTCATTTTCATTGCGATACAAATGATAAATTGAGCCGTACTTAAAAAAAAAGGGACTAGACGTGATCATCTGGGGATAAACCTCTAATGCTGTCCTCCATCTTGGGTGTTAGATATGGTGGGTGAGAAAAATAAATAAAAATAAATAAATAAAAATTATATATATATATATCATCAAAGGAGGAATAAAGGCAAGATAATGGGAACGAGAGGGTCGGTGAGACTGAAATTAAGTCAGTCTCGATCTACAGGGGATATTGATGTATAGTTCCATCATTTGGAACTGTCAGGGCGTAGGTAATACCCCAACAAAAAATATGATTAAACAGATGATAAACGAACTCAAAATTGATATACTTGCCATAATAGAACCGTTCACGGACAAAATCAAAGCAGAAAACATAATGAATGAATTATATATATATTTGCTGTACATTTCAAGTTGGACTTTTGTTGACACCCGAACACCTTATGAACCACTCCAAATTAGACGCTTTAATTTAATTTATTTTATCTTGGCCATAATCAGAGGTTGAAGTTTCTGAACTTATTGTGGTTTTCTGAAATAGTATTCTGTGTGGGTAATGTATCCTCTTCTTTGTTCCTCTTATGCGGTACTGCCCCAATTCTCGTTGACTGAATCTTATTGCGTTTTTCATAGGTGTGCTGGTTCAAGAGCTGTGCTGTAGTGTGGTGTGGTCTGATCTCTCCTAGATAGCTCTGAAAGCAAGATAATTTTTCTTTTGGCCCCTAATGCAAGGCCAAAGGAGTACCGTCCAATTCTTTCCAGAAACACTTGATTATGAGCATCAATCTAGTTCAAACAGCACCACCACCGACCACCAGCAAGGTTTCTGGAGTAGCGCTGTAAATCCGAGTGATGCGCACAATGTACCAGGCTACTTAAGAGGGCGAGCTGAGGTGAGTATGCCTTATAGGCACACTGGTGGCCACCAGGATGAGGGCTATGGGGGCTGGAGTCTGATGGGCTCTAGCTCTAGCGAGCCCCCGATCAGCCTCGATGGGTATGGCGTTTCTGAAGCAGCAGGTAATGGATGGATGGCATCATCAGCAGGATATCCTGCAACTTGCCCAAGGTTTGGAGAAAGGAGGTTGGAAGCGCGTGGTCACCCTTTCCCACACAGTTCCAGCTCCACTGACGCCAGTGGAGGGATAATTGATGGGGGTCGCCCGATCCCACAAATACATGCTGGGCCTCTCTATTATCCTTTTGCAGCAGAGGATGACCAAAGGGCTTCCACCAGTGGCTCTTCTAGTTCTTGTGGGATTTTTGTCAGGGATGGTGTCAACTATTTGTCTGATGACAGTGATGGTTGTACACGGGGGGGATTTTTGGATGGTCGACGCCAGTCTGGTAAGAGGAAGAACCTCGAAGGGCCTTCTGGCCAAACTTCAGGAAGTTCAAGTGGCGGTCCCTTCCACCAAGCTGATGGGTGTCTACTGCACTCTGCTCCTGAAAGAAATGTTTCCTCTGGTGGCTTAAACATCTCTGGAGCAAGAGGAGCTGCTTCTGAACATCCTTCTTTGATTAGCGTGGGTGGAAATTTTGATGGTTCGCAGAGTACTTTCCGCACCAGGGTTGACACTGCTCATCATCTTGATGGATCTTCACCGCAGGTGTGGCCCCCAGGGAACCCCAACCTGCACCTTAGGGCCTGCGCCCCCCACTATACCTCTTCTTTGCCGAACCCTTTTGTACAGTCTCTTGAAGCGAGGCAAGCAATGCCGAGTACGAGTTCTCATCAACCTCATCTGCCCACAGTTCCAGCTTTACCTCCAATGGTTTACCCTCTGCCATGGAGCGGCATGTCAAATTCCAGAATTGGGAGCTCTGCAAATATGCATACGACTTCGAGTGAGAGCCCAGGTGTTCTAAGGGAGGAGGCAAACCCCAGAGGCCTGGAAAGAAGTAATCTTCCAGAGCACCCTTTGTTTGTCCCCGCTGCTGATGCGTGGCGCATGGCACAGGATCCTGGAAGCTGGAGTCTGGGCAATGGCAATATGATCATCCCGGGAAACGCGGGTCCCTTTTCGCTTTTTAGTCCCAGCTCTGGTGTTCATCCACCGGTAGCTCCGAGTTGGGTGCCCCATCAAGGTCCAACAAGTCAGTATCTACAGATCTCATCAGAGCTTGCTTGCAGGGGCTCACCCATTAATGGGTGATCATGTGAATAATTTCCTTTGACGACATGCAGGTCATGGCAGTTCCTCGGCAGCAACCTCTCGACCTGGAGGTGGGCTTCGTACACCTCAGCAACAATTAAGATCGGCCTTCTTGATGGGAAGGCGAAGCAGCGTCATGGGTGCCCCCTTTACCCTGAGGAGTCGCCAAGCAAGAAATATGATGATATTTGAGGTATGTTTCTGAACCCACAGTCTTTTTCAATTTCGTTTCTTTCGAATTACGTATCTTCTTCTTATCATTATTTTTCTTTTACATTTTGATTATAATGTGAAGTTTACTATTTGCAAGCTGGGGCCTGGAATGTTATTATACATGTCTTTTATCCCCCATGGCCAGCATTAAGCTGAAATGGGAGTGATCTCTCTCTCTCTCACCCCCACCTCTTGTCAGTAGCTTGCCCACCCTCAAGCTGGATGAGCTATGTTCAGATTCTGCGTAATCTATCGCCCTGTTTTTGTCCTTTTCGGGTGCAGCAGACTGCTGAACTTGCAACATTATTTCTTGGCCTCAACCAACCCCTCTCTCCCCTCCCGAACAAAGAAGAAGAAAAGAAGAAAAGGGGTAAAAAAGCTCTGAGCATTTACTTTTGAATGGGACTGATGAAACGAGGACTCATAAAATGTGATTCCTCTGCAGTTGATAAACGAGCTTCTAAAAGATGCTGCACTTGATAGAAAGTTGCTGAAACCTTCATCTTTGGCGACCATCTTATGTCCTTGTGGCCGTTTTTCGCCGAGCTTCTTTCTTTACTTTTAGTCCATCATGCCAGAGCTGAATTGCTGGCAATAGCTTCCTGATCATTGTTCAGGTCTGATTTCCACTACGTTTGACTTCTACCTCAGTGTAGATGCCTTTTTATTCATACCTCTGGATCATTTGGGGATCACTTAAAACTCGTGGTGGAGTGCACCGGATCGTTGGATGTAACTAATTTCAGGCTTTCTTATTCGTCTTCTTCCCCCATATGGGATAAAATTTATTGGGTTCATTTTGATGTATTGCCTGGTCTCGTGTGGTTTCTCCCTGCAGCAAATCCGAAATGCGCTGGATCTCATGCAAAGGGAGGAAAGCATGATGATTGACGTGAGATCTCATTAACATACTCTGATTCAGACTGTTTACTTCAGAAATTTTGGTGGGCAGAAGCCTCCAGTGTGCTGGCGACATACATTTTCTTAGTATTGCTTCCCTCTTTGCACAGGATGTTATGATTCTGGATGAGTCGGCATTCCACGACAGGCATCAGGATATGCGCCTCGACATAGATAACATGTCTTATGAGGTCAGATGGTCAATCCCAGTCATTTCTGTCTTCATCTGTTGAACTCATCTGGTCAACTCATCATGGCGATTGCTTATCCGTCCCTGGCAGGAGCTGTTGGCATTGGAGGAGCGGATTGGGAATGTGAGCACAGGGCTGGGTGAGGACACCGTGCACAAGAACTTGAAGCAGAGGAAGTATGTATCTTCTGCAGCCCGCAAGGCAGAATCCTGCTGTATCTGCCAGGTAAGAGAGACCAGCCGGTCGTCCATGTATTTGGCAGCGTCCTTGGCAATATTCTCTGGTATTCACTCCTTCCGATATGGATGGCAGGAAGATTATGCTGATGGCGAGGATCTGGGGCTGTTGGCCTGTGGGCACGATTTCCACGCTTCTTGTGTTGGAAGATGGTTGGTACAGAAGAACGTCTGCCCGATCTGTAAGGAGACGGCCTTATCTACCTGAATCACGACTATGTTTCGTCTTTGTTCTTGGCCCGGATGGGAAGATGCAAAGGGTGAGCCACGAAAAAAGGTGGAGGCTTCTTTGACTTCTCTGGGTTTGAACCAGCGAACCAGATGCAGCAGCAATCGAATTCGATCCTCTTCCTTTTCTTCTCTCCAATTTTTTTGCGACTATTATTATCACTGAAACCTGGCCGGTTCCCCCACCCTGGAAGACTATCCTGCATGTACCCGGGTTGTTATTTTCCTCAAAGATGCCACCTTTTAGGTGGACGGCCAAGGTTCTGTTCTTGGAATGTATATTTATATATACGTTAGATAATTACTTATCTGGGGATCAGATTCACGAAGCCCTTGACTTTGTTCCTCAAAGGGTTTTGTTGATTCGGTTGTAGGAAAATCACAATCTCTTTTCTTGCTGATTTCCACTTTACATTTGGGTAATATATCCTGTTTAACATTGTTCACATGCCTCAATTCCTTTTTTTAATTATATGCAGCTCTAAAAGTCAACGAGAGATACATAAAATCAGCAAGAAAGAGACCATCTTAGTGTATATATTACAGTATGAATGGAGCTAGTATTAGTGTATATATTACTGCAGAATTGAAGCATGAAAGGAGCAAGTAATACTGCAAAATTGGTTCTTTACCTATTTCCTCGCCTCTGATTAACCAGCTACGTGGTTCTAGCCTTTCTCTGGGCTGCACCAACGTTTCTCTCTTGAGAGCTGGCCATCAAATGACAAGCAGCCATGATGCCAAGATCGAATCAATGTTCAGCCAGCTCTCCCCAAGGACCTGCTACTGAAAGGGATAGATATTTATCTCGGTGCGAATCGCTCCAGAGCTTTGGACATGGCCCAGAAGAGCAATGAGCAGTACAGAGGAGGAAAAAAAAGAAGAAGAAAAATCAAATTTTTAACCACAATCACTAAGCAATTATGTATCCCTTCTTCAAGAACGTGAACTTTTTGAATACGTCCGACGCTGGGGCGGGCAGTGGACATAGCGATATGGTCTCAATGGTTGACTTGCACTCCTGGGCTATTGGATTACTAGATCCGCACTCTAGGAGAAAAAAGAAAAAAAGAAAAAATAAAAATGATCCGGCTTCTCCACCTGTTACGAAGGTGTTTGGTGGCGATATGGGTTTGGTCTTCCTCCATCTGGGGGGGGTTCTAACATCTTTTTATTTCAACTTAGGTCATTCTTCTCTTGGGTTCCAAGGATTTAGGCTGATGTGGAGATATTTCACATCATAATTTATGATACCTAGCGACTAGACCTACTTTACTCTCCAAGTACTGTGTTTTATGCCACTTCCCTCGGTTTCACTACATTCTTAGTAGAGACTAGACACTAAAGTACATATTTTAACAGCTTAAATATTAGATTTAACAAATTTAATCTATTCAAGATATCACTCAACAGTCCTCTACTAAGTTCATGAATCAAGGGGGGCAAATTAAAGGAGAGCCCAATCCTCTCTTCTTTACACACAATTCAAGGTGGCCAAACATTAGATACCCGCTTTTAATAGGAAAGTCTTAGATCTCTCTTCTAAGTTCACACTCTATGTGGCCAAACACAAAACATGAACTTCCGTTTTCGAGATTGATGGCTCTAGGTGGCCAACATAGATTTACTACCATTAATCACCTCTAGATTAATACTCTAGATTAGTAGTGAGTACAAATCTACTCTAATCTCTTCATAGGTCAAACATGCCACAGTTTTGTGCAGACTCCTTGGAGGAATAATGATCAACTTCAATTGTCACCTACACTCTGAAATTTGTCACATCAGATGAGTTCAATTTAATCTCTAGGAAGGCTTGTTAATGTGCTATATAATCCAAGACAATTTAACATTTCGGGTTGCATTGCACAGTTCTTTGCACATTGTTCATCTTCTAGAGAGTTTTCCAATGAGTTACTCTTAGGTTAGTGACACATTTTCACAGAAAATTATTTTTTAAAAGTTCAGGCAGAAATAATAACCAGTTCAAGCTTAACTGAAATACTTAATATATTCAATCATAGAGAGTGACTTTTCCGCCCTTCATTGAATTTCACTTCAAGTAGGTACATCATGTAAAACAGTCTGAAATCAAGAGGATCTATTTATAATTCTCTCGCTTGGGAAGTCATAGAAATACATTTATATATTTAAACAATTTAAGCTCTCCAAAGTCTTTAAGCTACACATAAGAGGCCTCCTCACCTCTTTAAGATTCATGGCTCTAAGGGGACAAACTAGAGCAGCACAAGTTAATGCCATCTAGATTAAGGCTTTACAACAGCCTTACGTGTTAATCCACTATAATTACAAAAGTGTAATAGGTCGCTGTCCTTGGCATTTAACTCTACTTCTTGGATACCTCATTACATTGTTTTCTTCATTCGGATGATCTATTTCTACTAATTGTTGACTTAGAAAATTTAAACCAGATTTCACTAGTAAGAGAAAAGAATATTTTTCTAGAAAAGCGGACATGTATTATATGGCAGAAATTTGACGCATGTTAGAAGATCTCTAAGAAGGGCACCACATTAACCTTGTCAAAGCGCTGGTGAATGTAAGACCTTGACTTCATAATTTGTCAAGCGATTTTTAACTGATCAAATCTCAAAGATTTGATTCCTGGTGATTGAGATTTTGTGCTCTATAGATAGCCTATTAGAAGAGCTTTCAAATGGCATCTCAATGCTCAATCATCTCACCTTTCATGTTTTAAAATCCACTTCGGATTTTTTTTTGCAAGCTATTAGTTTCCAAAATATTTTTTTGTGGCCGAATCACCAACAATAATGAGTCAATAATTTCCCGATCAAAATTACTGCACAAGTTCTGTGAACTTAATATCCTACGCAAACCTGCAACTAGTTATAATATTGGTTGAAAAGCAAGCTAAGACAGGTGTCTACTGCGGGGTGACAGAACTGTAAAATCTAATCATGTAATAGATTTGCATCTCTCTTAAAAAGTAGAGGGTAATCAATATGATAGCTTACTAAAATTATTTTCGCCAAGATTTATGTCAAAAGACCTTAATCATGTATTCTAGTATATATACCGAGTATGATAATATATTAGCCCATTCAGTCAAAATCATGCGGATATTTGAATAAAAAGTGTATACATGTTAAATCTCCATCTAGATTGTTGCATACCCTGAATTTCTAAAAGAAACTTGAAACTTCTAAACCCACACACTACACGATAAAGAATCTATCGCACCGACTATTAAAAACTATAATTTGGTCTGATTCATATTGTATATTTTATGAGCTACTAATCTAAAAATGATGAGATTTTTCCACATCGCCATGTGAAATCCTGAATATAAAAGCGAGTGTCGGCCACTTTTGGACTACTAAAGCCGTGAATTTGTAAAGGCCAATTGATGCCTTGCTTCAACCTAATGACAGTAGGACGAGGATAGCACAACCTTACGTAGGTATCGCTTACAAAGTATGTGGGTTTCAGCCCTCATTCTCCTCCCCCACTGTTTCTCTCATCCTTCTGTCTGCACCATCTGCATCTGCAGGCTTGAAATCTGCAGCAACAGAGAATTAGATAGATATTTCCTCTTACTCCGCCGAGAAGGGTCAGTCTTGATGATCTCGTCTAAGAGTTCCTGTGGCTCTGGCTTTATTCATGAGGCCTGATCCTCAAACGACTAGCCGCCAAGATGCTCAAATCAAGTCAAACATTTCGTCAACTGACCAGCCCAGCAGATTATGGAGAAGCTGCCTAGACACTCAAACGACTAGCGCGGAGGCATTCCGGGGGGTCGCAATGGCTAACTTACGAGATCCACGGCTTTTTTCCATTCCGGAGGCTGGGGACAAAAGAATCCTGCATTCTCGCCCGTTACGGAGGTATTTTGGCGGCAACACTCAAGAAGGGACACGGGCTCGGTTTTAGCAGCCTTCCAGGCCTCGGTTCTCCTCTTTTCTTGCAGACTTCGTTCTCTCTTTCGCTTTTTATCCGTTAAGTTATAACGTCTGACTCGCGCGCTGTTTCTCTGGGCAGAAGAGCATGAGAATCTCGTTGAATCCCACGCGATGGTGCGCGAGTCTCTTAATCGATGTACGATTTTCGCCAACCTGACCCACTGTGTTCCTCCTAGCTCTGAGGCGGAGGGGTACAAGAACCAGCCTCGCCTCCAATGCGCTGACTTTGACTCCGTCCTCGACTCGGTATTCCTCGACGATGGATCGGCGGCGCTTCATGAAGCGGCGGACTTGATCGGGCGGCGCAGAGATCTTCAGCCAGGAATGCGACCGCCGGAGGGAGAGCAGCAGACCCAGAGAGGCGAGCTCGGGACTGACCGAGAAGATGGTCATGAAACACTTGAGGTGGAGGAAGTATGCGGCCTTCTCTGCAGCCTGCGCCGCCAAAGAGATCTGCTGCATCTGCGAGGTATGTTCAGGGAGAAGACGGACGGTTGGTGGCCGCCCGCTGACCAGCCCAGCTGCTTCTCTGACGGCTCGATGTGTCTTTGTGTCTGGCAGGAGGATTATGGCGAGGGTGACAACGTCGGGATGCTGAGCTGCGGGGACGGCTTCCACTTCGTCTGCGTTGGGAGATGGCTGAGGCAGAGGAATGCCTGCCTGATCTGCAGGAAGACGGCCCTCCTATCCATCGTGTGAAGATCCCCCATCCACTTCACCTCATATGGCCGTATATTTTGGGCATGTCCACAATTCAAGTCACCCTCCCTAATTAGAAGTCCAAATAATGGGCTTATCTACTATGCACATCTTTCACATTCTTGGCCCGAATGGCCCAATGATTTGAAAGCCTAGAGCAGATTAGAGGGCTCTAAAAGTGCACAACAGAGTGTACAACAGGATTAGAAATATTAAATATATTTTTTAAGTTTACTTGTAATCTCTAATTTCTACTTGTTTAAAACATATAACATGCTACAAAGCAATTGTTTCCTAATCATGGTAGAGTTTATGTTCTCTTAAATTGTGAACTCAAGGATTGCCCAAATCAACCCTTTTGGACCAGAGAATTGTAGATCTTTGTCCATTGTGGATTTAAATATACTATTTTCACTCTTCCTTTCTTTCTTAACATTTGTTCCTAGTACAAAGTTCAATGTTCTAGATTCATCATTTTGAATATTATTTGATTTTTGGCCAACCTTAGATCAAGGAGGTGATATTTGATTTGATCGGTACTTAATCCTTGACTTTGGGAATTATTTCTACGATATTCAATCTTATACTTTATTTGAAATATTGTAATCTTCCTAGATCTAAAGGTAAATGACAATGATTTTGCAATACTTTGATCCCCCTAATTACATCTACTTCAATAGAACAATCTTGTTCTTAGTTCCACTAGCTTGATTGTCCACTAGTTACAATTACTGATTAACATAATTAGTTCTCACAAAATTAGTTATCTTCTACATTCATTGCTCTAGGTGGCCAACTACTAACTATGAGCTAAATATTGATGAGTAATTAAAAAAATATTTAATCACATATTTACCCACAGAAAAATGATGAAATATTTCATTTTGAGTTGATTTTAAAAGAATATTGACTTGGAGTGCTGAAATTCCAATGAAAATGATGATAATGGAGACTTGATTCTTACAATCTTCTTTTATAGGGATGTTGGCTTAGTGTCAAAGGGATTGTGATGTCTTGATTGGAATTAGCTCATCAACTTGATGTCCTCTTTTCATTTGACCACCAAAAACCTCTCAAAATTCTTAAAGAACATTTTTATTTGGAAACCAATGAACCTCTCAAAAATGTAAATTGGTTAGAGCTGTTCATTTAAACCTAACTCTTGGACTGATGTTGAATTTATAGAGTAATCTCATTCAAAAACTTCTAGTCTTAAAAATATTTCAAATTTAAATTTACTTAAAAATTCAAATGGTTCTAAACTAAGACAACATAACAATTGAGTGTTTAGATATTCTTAATGAGCAGTAAGATATATATTTGAAGTTCATTCAATTTGACTAAGTCATTTAAAGATCTGTTATCATCAAAATAAAATTGATAATATATTTCAAAATCAAGTAATAATATGTCAATCAAGACTTATCCAAATTACCACAAGAAAATCATGTAAAACAACATGTAAAACAAATATACAAGCGAACAATGAATCCTAGTCTTAATATGTTAAATAAAAATTTAAGTAGTAAAGAATATTCATTATTTATTAATTTCAGTTATTCAGAAACAATACTAATTGTTCAAATTGAATCAAATACTTTTGAGATCAACAATATTAACATGGTATCAAAAATACTTTGTGTTAGCTTTCATACCCATATTGACATTAGTAACATTTTTTGATTTTGTAAGGCTAATAATTACTTTTAAGTAATATTTTTTGTAAATATTAGTAATTAAACTGGTAAAATTCATCAAATTCTAGAATTCAGTATTATGGGATTAAAATTTCAATATTTTTTACTTTGCATTTGAGTTTTTCTTAATATGTATTCAATTAATTTCATGTTCATGCATAATACACTACGTAACTATAGATCAATTTCATGATCAGTAAGTAGAATTCAATCTTTTAATTGATCTTTTACTTCTCAAGGATCAATGCAGCAGTGAGAGCTTTTTCTTTTTGCTTCATGAACCTACTTTTATCTTCAAAGTTGTATCTGCAGGTAGCTTAGAGTGTGCAGGATAGTTCCTTACATCCTTGGGCCTCTTGGGTTAAAAAGGTTGTATAATAGTCTTAAAACTATCAGATCCCACTTTTCCATTTTGAATCTCCAAAATTCATGTTAATGTTATAAAGTCAATATCGATTTAGTACCTGGACAATTTTCATTGAAGTTTGTGCATATGACTCGCCAATGACTCTACTAGTAAATAATTTCATACAAAAAATCCAAACATTTGCACTTTTTTTTTTTTTTTTTTGATGAAGAAATTTGATTGAGTGATAAAAGTTTGACCTCATTCTGAGGATACATAAGTGGGATCTCATTCGCATAAGGGGCGAGGATGACATGGAGGGTGAAAGACCTCTTTTTTTAGAGGGGATGTGATAATACTGGAGATAGACTCCAGTTTGCTCATCATATTTGAAGAAACCGGTTGATCTGCATTTGGGCTGAAAGAGCTTTTGAGTTCATGAAGTTAGAATATCTGGTTGACAGTAGTAGGACGTGTAAACCTCCATGTTGTGCACCATGAGGTGTTCCTGCAAGACAAGAATTTGCTGCAGTAAGTGGTTCTAAGAAAGAAATAAAATGATATCAAGTCGTGAGAAAAGAGTTGTTAAGATAGTGAGGATTATAGAACTATGCTGGAGTATGACAATAAACCCAAATATGAATTTGCCTTCCTAATGTTGCACGCGTCTAATCCCTCTGGCCAAGATCTTATTAGTACCATTAGTTGTCGTACTTCCTCTAAGTAGGTAAGAAAACTTTTCACCCCACGAGGAATGACTTGGTCTCTTTTTCTAACTCTTTTCTTTTCTCTTATTCTCTCTCTTTTTTTTTTTTTTTTTTTTTTGAGGGCCTTTTCTTTTACCCTCCACTAATGCCCATTATTTGGTGTACAAGGGTAATTCCTTTTGGAGTCTAGTGATTGGGGGAAGGGAAATAGGTTGCTCGCTTTTTTTTATTATTATTATTATTTTTTAGGGCCCTTTCCCTCACCCTCCACTAATTGTCTATGATGGGCTAGTGAAACATTTGCACTTACACATAGAATAATGACAATGTTAACTCTTATTTAGACTTCCAATTCTCGTTTGATTTTGAATATTTCTGTCCAGATATGAATTGAAATGACACAAAAAATTTCTATGGTCAAGATTGTCAAATGAATTTTCCTTCATTATGTGGAGACGAAAATGCCCTTCAAGATATGTGTTCGTTATTGAGGCTGTTTAATCATGTACAAAACATCACTTTTCAATAAATTTCAGGCTCCATTTCTGAGTCATCACTTTTATAACTTTAGGTTGAGTGAGTTTATGTAAAGCTTACATCCATAATTCATCAAAACCTTATTGAGTCAATCCACGACCCAATAAGCACACTGGTAAATAGTAAAGCTACTTTATATAGAGGACTGAAGGATTATATATAATGAGAGATCTTGTAGTGATTCGTGTTAGTAATAGAATACTGATTTAATTTATTGTCAGTCCTCATGCATGGCATTCAGATGCCACTTGTAGGCACAAAGCAAGAATTGTGGGAGTAGGCGATGGCAGCGGTGGGCAGAGTATCATGGTGCTGTTAACATGTGTGCCTATCTTGAGGAATTCGGAAAAATTACTTGTGCATATTTCATGTTACCTCCTTAGGGTTTCTTGGATTATCTACCTGAAATAGGTCACATAAGATTGCGTGATGTAGTTGCTTTATGTTGGCGATCAGGTTAGGTATAATATGACATTAACATAAAAAATGATGATCATGTACCAGTTGACAAGTACGAATAGCACCATGGCAACATAGACGAAACATAATGGTGGGAATTGATTGCCTACCTTGAAACTTCTTGTAACCATTTAGTTTATGAGAGCGTTGAAAATTAGAATCAATGTGAATGCAAACTGAAAATGCAATGGAAATTTTGAGGACCTAATTTCCATGGAGTAAACTTTTTTTGCTTTTCTGAACTCAATCCTTTTTCAGTAAAAATATCAATTACCTGTTTTAGATAGTGATTGGCATAAAGCAATTACCGTGCAATGTTACTCAGCTATGTACAATTTTTCTCGGGGTTTGATAATATCAATTATCCTTATGTCCAGAAAATATTATTGGAACAGAGCAGCACTCAATTACGATAATTAGAAGTTTTTGGAACAGAACAGATCAATTACGCTCAACGTGTCAGTTTTATCTACTAGGTTGCAAAAGTAACGATACATGGGATTTCCTTCTCTAAAACACATATCATCCTTGTATTTACTCTGTAATGTCCAGTCTGATTTGAAGCCATGTTAAATGCAAGGTATCATGAAAACGAAGGCTATAACTGGGTATATACCGTAAAATGCAAATGCACAATACTATCCCTCGTGATCACCAAGAAAATAACGGAGAACAGCGTTAGTATTACATGTACTCAATTATTGACGCAACCTTCCTCAATATAGTTCCCAGACGAAATAACAACCTGGAGACCGAGATTCTACTTGGAATCACCTGTCGGGAAGAGAGAAAATTGCGGTGGATTTAGGGAATCTCACGTGAAACTTGGTGATTTTTTTTTCACTTCCCTTTTTTCAGAGTGTGATCACCGAGTCTAAACTGCGGAGATCTGATAATTGAAGATAAACAGAGATTGTTACACATTTGACCAGACACTAAACACAATGTGAGAAAGACAGATCGAGATGACAGATTTATTACATAAAAAACCGCAGATGGGTTTTACGCTGAAGTCAACACGGAGGTCGGTAACGTAGATGATTGATTTGACAAGTAGCTAAATTATAGCAGGAAGAAAGAGCAGACGCAAATATTATGTTTGTTATTTTGAGCCCTGTGATATCGTAATTATTTCTTATCGAGGAAAATGCAGCGCAAGTTGTCTTTAATACAAACAAGTTTCGTTGGTTCTCAGGTCAACCTTCTTCCGCGTTGTGGTTGGTATGCAACAGTTATCTTGACCCATCCCGTCTT